ATCGTCGAAATTTCAATGAGTAAATCTTATTAAAGATTTCGCATTAGTTCGAATTTTCGCCGATAAGAGGGCAGCACCTCCTGGGCATGATATGTGGCGCCATCTCTGAGAGAACGAGTGAACTTTCTCCGATAAAATAATTCCGAATTCAATTTAAAAATCCCATCGTCGAAATTTCAATGAGTAAATCTTATTCAAGAATTTACATTAGTTCGAATTTTCACCGATAAGAGGGCAGCACCTCCTGGGCATGATATGGGGCGCCATCTCTGAGAGAACGAGTGAACTTTCTCCGATAAAATAATTCCGAATTCAATTTAAAAATCCCATCGTCGAAATTTCAATGAGTAAATCTTATTAAAGAATTCGCATTAGTTCGAATTTTCGCCGATAAGAGGGCAGCCCCTCCTGGGCATGATATGGGGCGCCATCTCTGAGAGAACGAGTGAACTTTCTCCGATAAAATAATTCCGAATTCAATTTAAAAATCCCATCGTCGAAATTTCAATGAGTAAATCTTATTAAAGAATTCGCATTAGTTCGAATTTTCGCCGATAAGAGGGCAGCCCCTCCTGGGCATGATATGTGGCGCCATCTCTGAGAGAGCGAGTGAACTTTCACCAATAAGATAATTCCGAAAGTAATTCGAAAATCAGCTATATCACGCTGGTACAGATAAAACTACGATAGGGCACTTTCAAAAAATCCCTTTACTTTTTGCAACTTGCAGATCGAGTGAAAGTAATGGCAGAGAAACTGCAGCATAGCCGAAAAGGGGTGTAAGGCGTAAGGTTGGAGGGGAAGGAGAAGGATGCTGTTAGGACGGAGGAGTGTAAGAAAGAGACAGAACTCATTCGCACTCTGGGATATTCGCATAGGGTAAAAGAATATCAACGTGTATAAGTGTTTAAAGATAATTTATTCAAAATAAGCAATAATGATACAGTATACAAAGTACAGATGTACATACATCGTATATGGCTTGCGAAATATTAACAATAACAGTACCATTAAAGATGTATTACATATATTACTGCAATATAATATACGTGTGGTATGTTACATGCGCTACCACTTTGGACTTTTCTTTTTTGAAAAGACATTTTAAGAACTTAATTTTTAAGGATATATTAGGAGGAGAGTGATGGAGATATAGGAAGGAATAGGAGATTCGAAAGGTGTATAAGTGTTACAAGATAATTTATTGGGCAAATAAAATAAATACAAACACAATTTTGGGCAACTTCCAGTACTTCTAAATATGCTTTTCCATATATGTATATGCACAGTTTTAAGTGTTAATATTTTACTTTATCGATTTAATTAATTATTTTAATGTTCCAAACACCTACTTTATTAATATTTCTAAGGGTTGCTTTGTGAACCAGCAGGGGTTAGCGGAGAACCTCTGCCCGCCAAGCTACGCGTTCGTTTTCACGTTTAGCTCGGCTGCGACGGGATTTACATTGTCAACGGAGGCGATGATCGCAAAATCCTACTTCCAGACTCACCGCTACGATTTAGCGCCATGATTTTGGTATCGCCTAAAACCGTAGCGTTGTGAATCTCCCTATTCATCTCTGTGCACAGGAATATTGAAAATTCGATTACAATTGGAAAAGCATAAGGAGCATTTTTTAGGCATTACAAACATATAAATTTTTATCCTTTGACGCTAACTTCCCGACGGTCAATATTTTTCCTGAGCTTGAGCCTCTGGATGGTACGTTCTAGTAGAATTATGTGGAATTTATACAAAAAAACTCACAGTTCGTTATCTTAAATACGAGCTTCCTTGAAGATAATTTTATTCTAAAAAACCTGATTCTGGATCATAAACATCATAATTCGACACTTGTATACACATCCCGAAGATAAAAAAACCTGCACATATGATTGCATACTTCAGACTGGATCTAAATATAAATATGATCCTAACGAAAGCCTGCACTTTGTTTGATTTCTGGTGCACTACGCGTTCGCTCAGTACAAAGTTCCACAGGCTTCTCATAAATGTCGATTATTTCCATTTCCGAAAGTCTATTTCTTTTTTTCACGCAGCTCCGTGCCGGCCCCTTAGCATCACCAGAATTGTCTACGCCAGGTTGAATATCCGAAAATGAATTCAAACCTTTTTCCACAGGCAAGGACTGTCTCGCAAAATTCTCTGAATATGACCTGAATATAAAATATTCAGTATAAGCTTTTGTTAGCGAAGGAAATGAATATTCAACATCAAATACTCACTGAGGTGCGGATGCTTTCGTAGACTCTTCATTATGTTTTCTTCTACATTGCATCGTCAACTTCGCTATCGTCCTCGCATCCACATTGATCGTCTTGGTTTTTTGAGCTTCGCTCTTCAACTTCTCCACATTTTGTGTCAATTGCTGTATATGCATCTTCAACGTTGCATTTTCGTGTACCAGCCGACTGTTCCTCTGCACGACCTGGAAGAAGGTCTCGAGAACAACTGGATCGGGTTCCAACAATCTATTAGGAGAATAACAGGACAGGAACTTAAAAAGTTCAATACTGTCTTCAAACTACCTGCAAGAACTTTGCTTTGCTCATTGGCAAAGGTTCTTGAAATTTCTCGGAAACAATAATATTCAATTCCTTTCGAGCTTCGTCAAGCTTCTCCATCATATCTGCCATTACTTGCAAATGCTCTCGCAACAGCTGATCTAGTTTCTGTCTCAATGAATCCTTGGAATGTTTCATACGTAAAAACTTGATACAAAGGTTATAGGTAGTTTCACTTTTTTCAATTAATTCATCCCTCAGCTGTTTATTTTCCTCTTCAAGACCATCGTGAATCTTTTCAAATTCCCGTTGTTGCTGCTGTTGCGCCTTAAACGTGCTGCCAAAACACTTTGCTTTGTGATTCTGCATCTCCTCGCAAAAATGTTCCTTTTCTTTCTGATAGAAAAACCTCTCATCGTCCAGCTGTTCTGCAATCAAAATGACAATTTGTTCTTTTATCGAATAAAGATATTCTTGACTCTAAAGAAACTTACGCTTCAAATTCCTGTTGCATCGTTGCTGTTTCTTCAATTCCAAAGAGAGTCTCTCAGTCTCACGATGCGCGTTTTCCAATTGATTTTCCTTCAATTGAACTGTATTCTCCAATTCCACTACATTCCGATTCAGATGCACCACCTAATATGAACTCCCAATATTCATTCCCATGTAAGTGTACAAAGTTGGCGAAAATAAATGAAATGAATAATTAATCCCATTCATCTCACTTGTTGCCGTAGCGTTGTTATCTCTTCCAGCGATAAACATTCCGCCTTTTCAAAAACTGTGCTGCTTCCGTTTTCCGTAAAATCTGCATTCAATTCAACACTCTGCATATCACAAATATCCGTAGTAGTGCCGATCGAGCTACAGGGAGCCTCGTGAGAAGTTTCAAGTGACTTTGAAAATCTTCTGCAATATAACAAATAATTGAAATATTAATAAGAAAAGTCTGTAACAAATAATTTTGATAGATTTACAAAATCAACGTATCGATCCACTGCTTAATCCCTAAAAGGAATAGTAACTTACTTAGATTTCGATTCGAAATTCAAGTATATAAATGATTCCCAAATGTTTAGTATTCACAAAATTCGTTTTTATTAAGTTACGAATACCAATCGTACTACAGACCACTTTCTCAGCCGAAGAGCCACATAGAGATATAACGAAGATTGTGATAAAACATTATACAAAAAAGAGTGAACATGTTGCACAGCACAATCGTTATAGCCACGAGTCGCACGAACGCACAACTTTCTTACGTCAAGATAGTCAAAGACAACAGCTATTTGGCTGTCAATATGTCAGTAGCTATTGACAAATGACAGATAGAATATTCATTTTCGGAAAATCTGACAGATTCACTAACCTCAAGATTTTCTTGGGCAATAGCCGACTCTTCGAGATAGTCCTCTTCATTAGAAACAAGTTTTAATAATCGATTGACCTTTCTGCGATGAAAACCCTCTTCATTGGCATCACGATTTCAAAAGAAAAACCAATTGAAAAGTATAAATATATAAATAAACGCAACTATTAAAAGTCTTAGAAATAAGAAAAATATCTAGAATTAAAAATCAACCCAAAGAAATATGACTCTCGTGTGTTCACATGAAAAAAACACAAATGAATCGAACATGGTCGTATTCAATGATCGAATAAATGCCAATTAAAAGTTATGTGAAATTTTTTATTGTATCGTTATATGTACAAAATAGGTGTACAGACCACTACCAATCGCACGGTCGTCTCTTGGTACATGTTTAATAAACACATGAGACGTAAAAACGTCGCCGTGGGGTAAAACGCCTGTAACCCGTCTTCTATTATCTTTCATCAAAGTGGAATGAATGTCGAGAGATGACACATTAATATGCTTTCTTCTTACTTTGATCCTCCTGCTAGCTGCTTCAAACTCGTCTAGTAAAATAATGTAACGTATATGGGAAACAGAGTCGACTGGATCTATCAGAGTCCAGCGCCATACTCTGTAACAAATCCCAACCCCTCGCACGTATCGAAATAAATTACATTGGTTTTGTCTCGTTCACACAATTTACTTAAAAATGACGTGCTTGGTATGTCTACACCGCTTTTTAACAGCATTGGACTCTTATTGATCTTTCTGTTATATTGGGCTAGGACATATTATATACTCTTGCGCCATTGGAAGTTTATCGGTGCGAACACGATACTGGAGTTAGAGAAGAATTAACGTATGTGTTGTGTATATGATAACTGACTGTATCCTTTGTATGTGTCTGCAATTGTTACATCATGTCGCTACATCCGTCAATGTCTTCCACGAATTTCGCAAAGGACAGCTGGACCAAGATTTTCAATTTATCGAATTTCACCTACTCTCAGACACTGATGCTAACTAAAGATATGTCGATTAGAATCTTGTCATTGTTCATTTAACTTGAAAAGTAATAGCGAATAGAAAAATTTGTAATTTTATTTTGAAGAAAAGCCAAAATACACTTTAATCCTCGTCTTTGAGTGTCAATTAATATATTACTTGATTTTACAAGTTTCCAAAGTGTTAAAAGAAACTTTTCCCGCAGTTTTATTGGTCTTCCAATCTGATACGTAGAAATATTTACTGCAAGATCTTTTTCTGAGAGTCCTGATTGTTGCCGGAAGTGAATTCTTTCCGAGTCTTATTTCCGTTTGACGAAAGCAATAAAAAAAAAGCGGGAAACCTAAGACTTTTAATTACGTAAGAAAAACCTTTTGCTGCTATAATATTTTATTCATCTAACAACTCTCAGAATTGCTTTTACTTATTTGTTTCATTTTGAAACATCATATTAGTCCAGCCGCGATCTCGAAATTCGGGATACAATGTTCGTCGCCTAATAGTGTGATAAAATGATACTAGATTCGCAGAAATGCGGATGACAATGATGGACTTACGCATATTAGTCTAACCTAAGAACGTTTGGTGTGTGTCTGTGTGTGGGTGTGTGCTTTTTTTCTTGCTTAAGGCTCACGCTTATTTTTTCTTGTTCTTGATGGCCTGATTTTTGTTTTTGGCCGCAATTGTCAGTTTGGCGTTTTTCTTCTTAGGTTCATCGTCTTCGTCATCTTCGTCCTCTGGGTCCTGCATAGCAAATAAAAAATATATCCATCATATTTCCTTTATTTACTTCATTAACATTGATGATCCTTATAATAGCGCTTTCGCATGTATGACAAAACTATTAATATCATATACAAGATACCAAACTACGACACAAACATCAACCAATAAATATTCTTATTCGTTAAGTAAATATATATTGCCTGCAAGGCGTAACGAGATGACGAGTATAAGAAATTAATTACGCCAAAATAATAGTCAAAGCGCCAAGATGGAGAAAGAGGTTATATGAAATATGAAAAAAATAAAAGAAACGAGAGGGCATTTGGAAATATTATCGTTTATTGTACAAAAAAAAAAAAAGAAATTAAACTAACAAATGCGAATGAGAACACAAAGGAAACTAATATAAATCGATCACATTTACGAGGACACGCAAGGTCTGTCATATACCCACTGCCCAAAAACGTCGTCCAATTTTTTTCTTTTTTATGAGAAAATTAAAATAACGATTCTTCCGAATGATTCCAATAATTAAAAAGGAAGAATTATTAGCCTAGGTGAGATTATTTGTTTATGCCATTTTCTCTTTTCTTTCAACTAGCACACTACTTGTCTACGGCCTCGTCCATCTTGGCGCGTTTGGTACCATTTTTTTTACCCTCTGCAGAATGTTTGCGTTTCTTTTGCGGTGCCTGAAATTACGTTATATCTTATTTATATACAATGCAACACACAAGTGAGACAAATTACTCGTAGCTTTGCTCATATTAACATAAGATTCATTTCTGGTTTACTAAATGCTTCGAATAAATGCTACAGCAGCCAATTATTCAGACTGTTAAAATTATGATAATATTAGCAACACATGCATTGCAACAAAAACACTCAACAGGCAGTAATACAAGCAAGAAAATGGATCACTACAGATAACGAAAGTTCATTAACTTGGACTATATAACCAAATGGAGTTATCCAATTCAATAGAGACGAGTTGATAACAAAAAAGTCATCGTGTTAATAATTATTGAATGTATATTAACGTGGTCCGTGAAAGTACTGTGACAAATAATGATGAAGCTAATGCTTTGGTAATGAGGTTTGTGACTAAACAGCAAATTTTATAATTCTAAAGAGTGAGATAAAGTAATTTAAAATAAGGAAGTCTATATCAGAAATTAATACAAGCTCTTGCGTGAATCTATCATAAACCTTTGCATTTAATGATGTTACAATTCTAAATGATCATTCATATGTAGTTCTATTTTTTTCGTTTTCTTTTCATTACCTTTTCGTCGTCCTCGTCGTCGAGGTTTTCCTCTTCCATCTCATCGTCCATATCGTCAAACTCCTCCATGTGTGTGCCTGAAAAAAGTACATAAGGAACGTTGTTTGACTGTTGCCTAATTAAGGTGGATCTTTATAATCATGCGGACATCATCAATCTAACCGTGTGTCACAATTAAAAAAAAAGAGAGAAAGGAATTAGATAAGTTTATACAACGATAATGTAACTATATGAATCGTACTGAGCAACTGAAGGATTTCCAAAATATAAGTACATTGAACTGCAGTCATTAGTTATGATAAGAATTAAATCTCATTTTACGTAATTATGTATTATCGTAAGCGAAAGGTACACAGGATACAAAAATTTATCTTTTAATTGAGATTACGTTACGTTTGCTTGTGCGAAGTTTTTTACGCGATTGAAAGACCGCGGCCAGTTATAAATATCGCACTTCTTTCAAAATTAATCAAGCACAAAAGTATACATACTTTAGATATGAGGAAAATATGATAATAAAATTAATAATAATCGAAACGTTCGTTGTAGCTATAAAATATGTTATAGAGTAAATAACAATATTTAATTTCTTAAAAAACTTAGCAATTTAAAAGACGGTAAAGATCATTGAAAATGTTGGTTAATATTATGCAATGTAAATATTTATTCTTACCAAGGAGATTGTGTCCTACTATGTGAACTGGTCCACTTCCTTTGACCAAGGTGAAGGTAACAGGGGGGTCGGGAAAGCTAAGATCAAGAATGATTTGCGCCGTTTTTCCCATCTCCAGTAAAGCAATTGGAGTTTTGATGGGGCCTTTGAGTCCCATAGCTTCTACCTGAAGCACATTGAGCTCACCAGGTTTAGCCTCCGGACCCAGAAGTGCCTGAAAAAAGAATTAAAATAAATTACATCTCTGATCATAATATTGCAAAACGTAAAATTCACTGAACAAAATTTAAAAATTAAATATTTTGAAGAATAGAAAGTAAGGCAATATTTTGTGTAAATTGAATAAATACAGAACTTCAATGCCCATACAGCAAAATCTTTTTTGTAACAATTATAAGTGTTAAAGCGCTTAAAATTTCCACAGTTCCATAAACGCAGGTAAGACCTTTATTTTCCATAAATGTGCAGGCCAGTAACGAGGTAGAGCGTTATTGGGGTCCCTTTTATGTTATGGATTTTCCTTTCTCATTGTTCTGGGATTCCCAGATCCTTTATGCGAAATTTCCGTTAGGGGCCCAAGTTGCCCTGACCACAACCATTTGGCCGAAGCGTGGTGAGAGAGAACGAATAGCAAGAAAGAGTAGAACGGAAGTAGAAGCCCCCACGTTGAAAAATGGCGCCAAGCATAAAATCAAGTCTAAAACGCATCCACGCTAGTTTGAACCGTAACTTTCAAGGAATAACGAAACTTGGCCAACTAGGCACGTCAAATACACATATTTGTTTCAGGTCGGCCACGACACAGTGTAAATAAAACGTGTACGATGAAATTAAAGAAGCTAATAAATTCCCAAAACTATCCGTATTTAACATCCTTATCAAAACTACTACGAATTCTCATACAAATTGCCACAGATAAAATAAATCAGGAAGGATACGGCTTGTTAAAAAAAAAACCACCCACAAACTCTAAATACCGTACGAGTACAAATAAACTATGAATCAGTTCGTTAATAAAAAGACAGAAAATGTGAAGAAATAAAAAAAATCATCGTGGCGCGAAATAACGGAACATTTTTAACGTAAACCAATGACTCAAAGAGTGGAGCATAAATACAAGAATTCACTAGGAACTTGAACAGTCTCAATGGAAAATTCGTCACTATATACACTAAGTCGTATTTTAAACACTGTTGAATAAATTAGGCACACAAATAGATAGAAACACATTGCTTAACGTAAAAATTAAATCTTAACGTAGCAATAAGAGGACAAATACAAAGTAGTAAAATATACCAAGCAAGTAGTGCGAACAGCTACCCGACAAGGAATCCCTCATGGCGCCAAATGAACGCCGCGAACGAATGAATATATACAAAAAATAACTCAACGTAAAAAACGTAAGCCAATTATATAAAAGAATGACAAATCTAATTGATTAACTTACCATTTTGATGATGAGCTTCTGGTCGACACCAAAATGCTGGTTGGCTCCTTCCGCGTCGTCGTTCTTGTGCTCTGGGTCCCATACTTCGCTAGAGTTTGCACCCTCGAGAGTGATTCCTGTAGATGGAAATCACAATAAATTGCCAATTCAATAAGGTGAACGTTCGACAGAAATTACATGCCGGCCACAACGCACTCGCAGTTGACTAAGCACACAATGGGCTCGCCACAATGGCCGAAAGTCTGCCGGCGTCTCGAACAGTGCACCGCGTATTTGCAATGGCCGGCCTGCCGTAAGTAGCAATGCGTGCAACGAAATAACGAAACCATTATCATCTACGTTCTTCACTTTGTAATATTTACCGTATAGATATTCCTCTGCCATGGCGATCGGTTTGATATTAGCAGATTCTTGTGAGTAATGTATACGTCGATGGAGTGTGCGTGTCCAAAGTGTAAGAGAGAGAAGCCAGAGACGCTGCGCGCACAACGGTCACTGCGAGAATCGCGAACGTTAGTGGTTGCACGTGCTGCGTGAACGCGTACCAAATGAGTTTCGCGTAGCCGGCCTTGCGCGCCTAGAATACGTTCCTGTCTCTCATTGGCTGATATATTCTCCCACCACTAAGCAGCGTTGCCAGGTTTATCAACGCCAAAAGCACCGACGGCATCTTCGGGGGTGTCTTTTGGCCCCTATTATGCCTCGTTGCTTCTAATACCCGTAAAGTGGGGGAAAGTATGATGGATGCCTTTAGGAAATTTTTGAAAAAATAAAGTGCCGAGGACATTTCGTATGCTTGTATGCTTGGCTACTTTTAACATAATATAATTTGCAATTGCATGCACAAATTGGATTCTTAATAGATATCGGTATTCGACTTCGATTTTTTATTTTTTTGATGAATTAGTTACTGAGGTTATAGGTACGGTGGGAAATTCTAAAGAAATATATAGTAACATTTTACGGACATACTTGCAAGATATGATCTACATACAGTTATCTATTATGATGACCATTTATTTTTTCTGGTTATTTTATGCATATTTTATTTTTTAATACTCATAAATTTGTAAATTCATGAACATATTTTATATTTTATGTGTTAAGGAAAATAATGTTGGAAAATTAAAATGCATAATTCTGTTATTCTTCTAGCCCTACTTCTTTATTTTACGCTGAAGTTTGATAGCTTTGATAGGTCTTCGTTACGTGGAAAATCTGACAACGATGCATTTAGATACGATTGGTCAATGAGACATCTGCTGGTAAAAGTTTGCAGCTGGCACCCGCGTATTGACAATGTAAATATTGTGGAACATATAAAATTACATAGAAACGTATATAAAGGTGATTCTATAAAAGAAAGGATATCTTCGTACTCCTATTACGTGACGCTGTTTATGTGACTTATTTTACTACGCCAGTCATTTAGAATACTTTCGAGAAAGGTCTGAAAACCATCACTCGACGTGGTGCGCCTCGACATGCCTGCCGATTTACGTATTTTCATATTCTTTTCATTGTTCTTGGCGGTATTAGCCGTGAATGATGGAAAAAATGAAAGTTTTTTCGTACCGACACACGAGTGGCAAATAGTAAAAAAGGGTAAGTCAATAATGTGGGACTATTTTTCACGGAGTTAACTCGTCGGACCGAACACCACGTCAGTCAAATGTAATATGTAAAAATTCAAGAGTAATTTTACTAATTGTGCTTTATAGTAATTATCGAAAAAAATGTATGATTTCTTATAAATTTAAATTATATAATATACAAAATTTTATACTTTCTCTTAAATTAAGTGAATACATTTGGATATCCAATATTTGCAGTAACGTATCTAGTATTTTGAAAATGTCTTGAGACATTGAGTAATGCTACAAATATACGGTTCTTATTTGTTTCTGTTTTATATAGTAATAATTTAACCACGATGGACCGAATGCTTTAGGCCACTTAATTGTCTGTTATGTCATAACTGTCCAACACTTTATTAACAAAATGCATTATGCACAGCTTTTATTATAATATTGATATGAATGTTATTTTTCATTCTTGATATACTTCAGTTACAAAATAATATTGTGGAACCCTGAAAATACGTAACTGTGTTCGCAATGCCATCTAGTAGAAACATCCCTCAAGTTCTATCTTACAGGAACACCAATCCCACAAGGCTTGCATATAAAGCACAATTTTGAAACTGGAATAACAGAAGCGAAATTAATGAATCCGGATGATTCATCAGAAGATCAGTCAAAAGAAAAAGCGGAAGATGAACACTTAAAATCATTAATACTCCATCCTGACGAGGCGATAAATCAATCTAATGAGAAAGATTCTATGGAAAAAATCGTAAATGAGGCCCAAAAAATGAAGTTGTCCGTAAAAGAACTAAAGTCACGATTGAAAAAAATCAGATTCGATGATACAGTAGTTCCACGAGACTTAGATGTAATTATTTCAAAAACAAATTTTAGTAACAAATTATTCGTATTAAATTATCTCTATATTTTTTTACTACAGAATGACGACGCTCGTCCAACGTCAAATGAAGGATTCAGAAATTATGAAACATTAAAGAAAGAATTTGAGGCACTCGAGGTAAATGTTTCCAACGACGCTGAAATAATGACAGCCTTCATGAAACGCTTTGATCAGCACAAAAATTCTATTTTGTCTGGTACATTGACAGTATCAGAGATCGAAGACATTTTAGATATACTAAATAATTTAGAATATCTACTACATCAGATTGATAATGCTCAAGTCTTCACTGATATGGGCGGGTAAGTATTTTTGATACTATTAGAAACTACTGTTATTAAAATAAAATTGATTGCCGTTCCTGACCAACTGATTTATCTTTCAGGATGACAAAAGTCATTTATCCATGTTTGAATGCATCGAATAATGAAGTTAAATCAGAAGCACTAAGATTATTAGGTGCTGCAGCTCAATCCAATCCAAAAGTACAAGCTAAAGCTTTAGAAAACGATTTTATACAAAAACTCCTGCACATGATAACAACTAATAATAAGGTGGAGGTCAGATCCAGATGTCTGTTTGCTCTAGGCGCACTGATTCGTAACTATCCGGCTGCACAAAAAGCACTGATAAATCATGGTGGTTTGGAAATCTTTGGTGAGATTCTTGTGGATGGTCCACTACAGACGCAAACGAGGATAATGAAGTTAATTAATGACTTAATAACTGAAAGGCAAAACGTAGGCAAACTCGTGGATGAAGAACAGCGCCAGAGACATTTTAACCAGTACAAAAGCACTGCTTTTGAGGAAAAAATTGTTCTACACAATTATTGCAAGCATTTGAGTGACCTATTAGTGAGAAGTATAAAACATGAGGTGACTACGAATTTTAATATGGAAGATCGTGACTTTCTAGAAATCATCTATGAGAGCATGATCACAGCCAATTCTGTATGTCATGATAATTTCGTAAAAAAAAGAGACATTGTCCTTCCAGCTCTGAATGAAATGCTTAAGTTTTATCAAAGTCTCGATGTACAAATATCTCCTGAGGAGGATGATCTATTCAGACATCTTCTACATCTTGTGGAGATATTTAGCACAGTTATTGACCATTCTCATGATGAGCTTTAAAGGATATATTTTGTTGCATTAAAACACAGGAGGCTGACGTTTTGAACGCGCTTTATGCACAAAGGAAATCTTAGATAATGATATTATAGGAGAATCCTTTGTTACTAGTTCTTTTTTGAATTTTTGAATGCGTGATTTTTTAGGGTTACGTATATGTCGTAACTCAAATGATATCCTGGTGCTGCAGACGATATAATAGACGAACCGAGTTGTCAAAACCTTGTCATAATTCACGTCGGCTCAATTATACATTATAAAGATTTTATTCGAAGAACTTGAATTTTGCGAATTTCATTTGTAAATGGATTCATTCATTATTGAAAAATATTCAGTTTTCTCTATGCCAACGTGTCGTGTGGTAAGTAGTTTCATAATTAAGCGTGTTAACGTGCGCGACACGGCGTGACTATAGCTTTGAAAATAATATATAATCTAAGACTGATGTGACTTACAGTAAGGATACATAGTACCATAGTTTTACATAGAAAATATAATGATAACGGCGTTTGGAGACACGTTTTCTTTTCCCCCAAAGATTATATTGTTTATGCGAGTGCCGATGTAGTATTTATTTATGGTGTGCGGCGTTGAATGTGTTGGCGATAGAACAAACATATTTTTATAGAAATAACCTTTACGTGGAATATTACATAATAAAATGTAAAATGAATTGTTTTTTTAAAAGAATCACGCATTGGCCATTAGTATTCCGTGCGCGGTTTGCTGTGAATTTTCAGAAATTTTTACAGAACTGTAATTCTGTATCAGAGATAGGGGGACCCCTACCATCTAACAATAATTTAATAAATTAGTGGTATGGATTTGAAAAATTGTTACCATTCCGAAGCTTAATAAATTGTTTGTTAAAAAACATTCGAGTACTTTTTTCGAACCTCCTGATATTTCTTGATAAAAGCATTTACACAATATCACTATGTAATATTATAGTCACAGTTACAAAGACAATATACTTATGATAAGGTAGTTTACTTTATTTATAAAATATGGCGGTTACACGTGATCAATTCGATAGTAGTCACGATCCATACAAAAGGTGCTCAAAAAACTCGCTGGTTCCATAGTCAGCTTCCCAAAATGATCGAATCCTTATTTACACATAGCTATGTAAAAGGCACTCGCGCGCTACATAATTTCAAGAACAACTGTATTTCTTACTGCCTTTTAAGTACAAATTGTATTCAACTGTTAATCGTACAGTGCGCACGAACTGAATTGCAGCACAAAGAGGAGAGGGATAATCGAAGAATCATCTGCTACATCATTGTTGAATCATTAATATCACAATTATCTTTCAGATACGCACAGGATATCAAGTTTTTAATTACTATTTTCAATTCACAAATGATTTTCAAAATATTATCACTACCATCTAGACAGTGCCTTTGTATATCGTACTAAACAGTCGGACTTTCTTTTTGGGATTTAGCAATAATTTTTTCAAAATATGTCGGCTGCAGCGTCCACTTCTAATTGTTAATCCGGCAATTGCTTATTAGCAACATAAAAAATATACTTTACATAGGTGTTTTTACGTCGAATTGTCTTATGTCAACTGAAGAATCACTAGCTACTCATGCGCAGTCAACTTTAAACCTTATTTATTACAAACTTTTTTAATATAACGGAATCATATTCTTTGTGTACGTTAAAATATCACTCTCGTATGGCAATACTGATACTACGCGGGATTCGTTTTCTATCCTGCGTTTTTTTAAAGTGGTCATTAACTCGATACAAGGAAAACGTGAATTCTTACGCTGGGGTTTGATTGAGCACTAAGTCATCTTACAGTATGGAAAACGTATTTATATTTTTATATATATGTATAAACTATTCAAAGAATGTAACAATTATCTGTCCCTCAAATTATACCGGGAAAAAATACCATCTTCCTTTTTACATTTATGGACTCGTGCTAACGTCATTGTCCACAATACAAACAGAATGCTTTACGCAAAAAAACAATATTTAAGTAGAACATTGGTACACAACTGATAACACCATGAAATTTGACAATATTGAAGTCAATTATTGATAGTACTTGTAGAAAGGAAAACACACTGATTAAAGTTAACAGGTCACATAGGGGCGGGGGACATTTTTAACGCAAAAAAAATAATTTAGTTTTCCGTTATGTTCTAACGCCAATCATTACACACTACGAACCGTTGAAGTTCGTTCAGTCAACATTAACCGTTATTATCTTTTGATAAATCTGCAATTCAATCGCTCTCCGAGCATTGACCATTATTTATGAAATTTAAACACTATTTAAAAAGAAAAAGGGAAAAACTAGCATTTCTTAGTCGCAAAGAATAGTCAGCATAGCCATCAGTGTTATTCCTAGAAGTAGGGATCCAAATTGTTTCAATGATTCCTTTGGATTTGTTTCTTTGAGTAATTCTGGTAGAACTGTTACTAGACCGATGTGCAAAAATCCACCAGCGGTAAATGGTAATATCCAACTGGTTCTGGCCTCTGTAACAGCACACAAAAAGTTGTAAATAAAAATCCAACAACTTAAAAAATTCTGTAATTCAAACCAAATTTGAAATACTGACCAACACCACCTCCAGAGCACAAAACAGCAACGAGGGCGCCAAAAATTCCACCGCCAGCGGTCATTATTTGAGCTTTGGCAGCGTCCCACCTGTTGAAGCCACTTTTTAGCAAAATGGCAAAATCGCCAACCTCGTGTGGTATTTCGTGCACCAAAATAGCGAGTGTTGTGAGAGCGCCAAGCCTGAATGACACCAGGAATGATCCGCCTACAGCTAATCCATGAGTGAAGTTATCGATACAGTTGGCCATGAGGTTCAAGTAACCGATAATGCGTTTAGGTTTCTGCTTCCGAATTTCTGTGATGTTATCACTTCCCACAGTACTACTCAAAGTCGACTGGTATGCACATAATCCATTGGCATTAACATTCTTAATGATACCGTTAGACTGTCCAGTATTTTTTAAATATCCATCAATCTCTTGCGCTATCAGATATCCGTTAGCATTGCCCTTCACAAATCCATTCCTCTTAGTGGCATTGAATACACTGGCGTCCTTGATGTATCCATTCTTTAGATTCTTCACATCAGATAATGGATGAACGATATTTCTTGCAAAACCATTGGATTTCATCCCATTCTTCATGAAGTCTTTCTTGGCACCGTCTAGCTTCAGACAATTGTTGTTCTCCAGTTCCGTGTGGGAATTATTATTCGAAAACTCTTCTTTCTTCTGTTCTTCTTCTTCTTCCTCTTCGTCATCCTCCTCCTCCTCCCCCGCAAACATCTTCTCCGCCACGATGAAGACAAGGAAGCCTGCTAGTACCCAGAGTCCGCAAACCACAGAACGGTGTCCGTCATAAGCTGATAATACAATAAAAAACAGAAGATTTTAATTTTCATATAACATTCACTAAAGACAATTGTTTGTCATACAATTTTTACAATGCTGATCGATCTAACCCACTTACAGTAGATTCAACTTTTAGAGTGGATCAGCGGATCTCCTTGAATTTACTGAATTCGTTCTACGCCTTGCAAAGTGCGAAGGCCATATTAGTGTTATGTCGTTAACGTATAACTGTTTGTAATAATAAATAACAGTTTTATCGATACAAGAACATAACTGCTTTGTTCGAAAATATAACAATTTGTCGGGAGCCTCAACAATGGTTATTTATAACTCTGCTTGTTTAATGTATTCATCCTCTGACAAGCTGATACGTACGTAGTTAATAAGAGTGAAATGGTATCGGTATTCGAGATACTACTAACGATTTCAGGAAGCTACAATTTCCATTTGTGGTATACACTTAAAACAGTATCTTTCAAAACAATAAATTTAATTAAATACGTCAAAAGTATTGAAAACTCAGCATGACCTGACCGTGGCAAGAACAGGTTACAGTTGACTGAACTATAATTGCTCATTTAACTTCGAAATCAACTTCTAACGAAATTCGGAGACTTATCACAAAACCTTTTAAAGTACATTAACTATTTAACACTTTAGACGACTGTGAGCAATGTGGTAAAACTGAGCAAAGGTCTTAAAATAGAAATTGAATTTCTAAATGATTACGATTTTACGATCAGTTGAAAATTGCCAATTGCAATTCCCAGCTGGTGCTGACAATCACTATAATCATTTTCTTCTATTTCCTTTAATTTTCCCTGAAATGCCAGAGAGGTAGTGGGTAGCATTAGATAGGTCGGTATTCAAGTTGCCGGATAAAATTGTCAATTCAAATCAGCAACTGGTGCACAATAGGGTTTGGCATCACCATTTAAATCATTTAAAGTGCTCGGATGACTTCGTATGGGAAACTGACCTCGTGGGCGTCATACGGTAAGCATAGTGCCCACATACGAGCAGTGTGAAATTCATAAGACATATGTGATCCTTGTATTAACCGTGCTACTAGTATTGGCTGTTTAGAAATTCCTGTTTACCTTTATTAAGGTTTTTATTTGCCCATGCTTCTGGTAGAAGATGCAGGAAGACATCGCCAAGTAGGCCGCCTACTGCAAAACTCAGTAGCATCTTTAGCGTACCGGCGCTTGCTGTAACATAAAATGAAGATCCTCGGTCAATAATACAGATAAATTGAATTTTTACATAATCTTCGAATTCCACGTTTAGAAGGTTATGTTCTTGTACGTAGTTACGCACTTGTGTGTCTACCGAATGTATGTTTTTATCACGTTCTGATTTGCTGACGCTCCCAGCAAGATAACTCGAGATTGGAGGCTGAATTCTTGTGCTGGAGAAAGTGACGCGTGTTAATGCTGCTGCTAAGAAAGAGACTGGTCTCTTGGTACCATTATGCTAAAACGACATATACAAATGATTTTGAAAAGAGCAAAGAATTTGTTCCTGTCAATGGTATAATATCTTATTGAATAGATTGCTTTGTTCGAATATAATTACTATCTTACATTAGTTTGGGCGGTATGGTGAAGGAATTGCATATTTCACATATTTTTACTTTTACCAGAGCTACGGTTATAACGGCTGACCTTAGTCACACTCAAACAAGTTTCTCTGAGTTAATCACAACGTTTTCAAATCTTTTTGATATCGCATTCGACCGATAATCACTTTTCAATAGTCTAACGTAAAAAGAAGTAACTACAACAATAAATAAATGTATATCTGACGATTGAAGAAAAAATATTTTCTAATTTCTGTAAATCCTCAATAAGAACGATATGGTCTGAGCCAAAATTTTTTATCACGCTATGACATTACTGGAGCGAGTGGCCCGTGAAAATTGTTTATTGAAAAATAACAAAATTTCTATCCTATTTGCTCCGTAGGTACCTAAAACCCGTGGCTGCAAACCGCTGATAATATGACGTCAAGCCATAAGACGAGACCTAATATATTTTTTACACGTTTATTCGTGGCCGAATGAATCGACGTCAAGATACTCATGAAATAACAAGCAAGCTCTTTGGCTTTCGGTAAATATAAATTTAAATTAAATTAGTTTATCGCTCATCTCATCGTATCCTGAATCTTGCGCTATGTAATTATCTGTAACTATCTAGCAAGAAGGAGAACGATGAAATAGACGAATAGCACAGCAAATTTTACTTAAATAAATGCCGTACGATAACGCTGATCTTGACCCTGGTTGATCTTGTACAAAAAAAAAGCGGAATTGCACTGTTCTTGAACCAATGTGCCTTGATCTAGTTTGGATTGCAAACGGGATTGGCTGCACGTAGCCTTTGCTAAATCAATAACGGATCTAATAACTACGGAAATACAAATCAGAAAGATGGAAGACCAATGGTCCAGCATGGAAATTTTATAAAAGTTACGCCCGTCAGTAAGACTTACCAATGGCGACCTAATTGATACAATTATGATAAATTTCAATGACACATGTCCAATAATAATTCCATAAGACTCGTCGACTACAATGTATTATTATCAGTAGCATGTGATTCCTGCTGGTAAACTGTTTATGAGAATTAAACGAACCGAATATCCTGATTAGAATCTTTTTCTTTGATTTATCAGACAATGACGATAAGTACTTCATGATCTTCGCGCTACACAAATGCACTCACATACGTGTGCAGGGACTTCGTAAAGAAAAAAAGACATATCTATGAATGGTGTAATGAGCATTGCTATCGTTGATTAGCAGATGCGAAAGATTATTGGACTTATCGTTCATCATGGACTGACATCAATTTGCGCAATCGCGTTGCTTACAAGCGCACTTATACTTTAATAAGCAATTAAAGAATTATAAGAACAAGAAGCCATTTCATTTATTACGGCTTATGTGATCAGAAATCAATGAAGAAGCCAATTTTTGGAAAAAAATCATATCCTGCCTGAGGGAACATTATCTGTTAAAGAATTTGTACAATCATACAAATGTAACGTGACACATGTTTTTATTCAGATGGAGCAAATACGATAAATAATATTAAATAACACACGCAGTTCGACGTGTCTGATAATGAAAAAATGAGAGTATTTTTTTTTCCTGGAATGTATACGAAGAACGATCGGTTTTTCCCTCGGTAGATTACAGACGTTTTTAAAAAAAAGCCGTATAAAATTGAAACCCTCTTTATATCATGACGCGTAATCTGCGAGACATGCGTATCAGTGCCCAGCGAAATAAATAATGATGCATCGATATCGCGAATGTCGTATCCGTTGAAGAGTGAGCTGCGGGAGCTCGCAATTTCTACAAACAGAAAGTTCTTCGTTGTGATTAAGAGAAATACGATTATTTTATAGTCATTAAGTCAAATTAATTACTAGTCTTTCTCTGCATTCTTAATTCGACATTTGATATGCAGTGCAATGTCCGTTTTGTAAGTTTTAATGCGGCTCTTTCACTTGGCGATTTAGCAAACAGTACTGAAAACAACATTTGCTTTATCTGCTGACACTGAGTCATCATCACGAGAGTCCCACCAATCCTTGAGAAGAGTCATTTTCGTTACAAACGAATATTCAGTGCCGTCGATTAAAATGTGATGCTGCAATGGGAGCCCCAGGGACTTTTGGAATTTCGCTGATTGTATTAGCTGCGGTTGCATAACAGGATGTTATCTCGTACATCACACGTCTGACAATGCCACAGAAACAGGTCGAGATAATCGTACGGGCAAAGATCAATTCCAATGGTATCGTTGGTGAAATTACAGCGTGCTCGACAATTTTACTAGTAAAAAAGGCCACTGAGCGAGTCGTTCGATTGGAACCAGTAATCTTTAGATATACATTACGTCATTAGCTAAGTGGACAGATTTCGAGAACTAGTTTTCTTGTGTGTCTTTGCGATCAATAGCATTTGTTGCATTACGACGATCTGGAATAAGTGTGTAATTATTATGGATCGAAGAAATAGTATAGTAATCAACTATACTCTGTACGAATCTTTATTGAAAAGAAAAACGTGTAGGAGCGTCGTAAGTTTAATATATTTAGGCTGTTTAGGTTTTCGAAGAACTGTGATATTGCTAAAAAAGGCAATCGATGGATATTTTATTCGATAAGATAAAATTTAATCAAAACGTGCCGGATGGAAGATCTTTGTTATTTGACACACCTGAGATCTGACGGATTTATTTTATATGCGCACTTTGCAATTCCTCTGCGCTTTAATTATTCAGAAAGCGTTAAATTGGAGATCTATTTGGGTTAGAGCTGTGAAAATATCTGTTGCAATACGTAACAGTTTGTCAGTGGAACTATTCTTTTTTTTAAAGAAATTTCGTAAAAAGAACTAACAATGAAATGGCGCCCGATATAAATTGCACTAGTGCTCAAGGCCAATGCGAGAGAATGAATACAATTAATTGTGAAACAACTGAAGTTGAGTAATTATGCGAAATAATTACAGATACGGCAAATATACAGGGACGTATACTTATTTTGGATTTAAATCAGCATATGCTCCGATTACTTTATCATTTATAATATAATATTTTAACATTGCGAATCGTTATTCTTTCAGGATTACATGAATATTGAATGATAATATCACTAAACAAAAAATCAAAACGGCCATAATAGAAGTAGAATCCTTAGAGAAAACATTGACCTGAGTCTACGACTAAACTCTTCTAGAACATTCTCTCCTGCGCCAGTCATGAGATACCTAACCCAACAATGGGCAGTAAAATAGCTGTGGTAAATTCTATTCCTTAATTATCTTTAAATGCTTCTTTAACAGAAAGGTTCCTCTTGGAAATAGTTCATTATAAATGCAAAGGGATCCTCCAAATTTAGATTGTTATAAATAAACGATATTTTAAAATGGCAGGAATATTATGAAAAAAAGAAAAACCAGTGTAGGAAGGACTGATTTCGAAGAACGTTTCTCTCTAGATAAAAAATGTATCGCTAATATTTAAATTCCAACAATTGAATATGGATATTATGAGAAACCAGAAATATGTTGCAAAAAAAATAAAATTGTTTCTGTAACTGTCGCTCCTCGATCAGAACACAATCCAGCCTAAGGGGAAATAACTCAACCTTAAAACCGGTTTTTATTAAAGCATTACTATACAAGCTATTTACAAGCTATTTATTTACATATTCCTGTATCAAAATGGCGATCACGTGAAAGACATAACACGTTTACTAACGAATCGCTTGTGATAGAATACCAACAAAATTCAATAAGTGAAAGACATTGCAGTAACTGCTTAAGGTTTTGTTTTCTTGTGTACATAAAGAAAATTCTTGTCTATTTCGGTGTATCGGGCTGGAACTAAAGTTCAAAGTTCAAAGGTTTCGTGACATCGTTAGTCGTTAGTCATTTAAATACTAACAACACATTCGCGCGATACCATAAGATTCGAAGACAGGCTCCTGACTGTCTAATTCCATAATGCATCATGCGAAGAATATTTTCATTGCATATCATGTTTTTTCTCAGCTTCTTTACGATAACAACATACGACGTCTGGCTTTTTAGATCGACATACAATGCAAAATAAAAGTAGTATATTAATTCGTCGGTTGATTCCGCAATGTGGATCGATTATACAGGCCTCAATTGACCTTGACCATATGAAATGTAAAACCGGTTACGCAAGAGTCGTATTGGAACATACTTTAAGGAATTCTAGTATTCAAAGTTTTTTTGATTAGTGATTGTTCATCTAATAGAAACCATTTGGATATCGATAATGAATGAAAAGGAAAGTATCGTACTCATCACTAATTTCTGTCTCTTATTTACAATCCAGGAGACTAACTTATCTTCTACGGAAACAATACTGTACGAAGAATTTTCATTAATTTGAATTAACAGTTTACGATAAGGTATTTCAATGTTTACCAGTCTACTTGGTACTCTGAATGCCCAAGTTTTTTCTTGGCGGCTGGTACTACCGTTAACAGCAAGGTCGCGAGTTATGAGCATCTTTCGAGATAAGTCTAAAGAGAAAAAGTGACTTGAACCCATTAACTTATACAATTTTTATTGTCTCAGTAGCGATACTGCGATATTCAGAATTGTTGTACGATATTGCCAATGTTTACTTGAGAAACTAAAACTTATTGCGAATTTGGTACGCGAATTTGCAGTATTAGATCTATAGCGCGTGGCACGTGTAGCACTTGTTGTGCTACACACGTTTCTTCTTGTTTTTTGCGCCTATTTTTAATATTGAGTTTCATGATACTTCACGTGGCAGCACTCCTCTTATTTATAGAAATGCGCGTCAGTCTTTCGCTGATATCTGGGGAGCCCGTACGACATAGCATCGTGGATTCTGAATGACAATTCTATGATAACAATTCACTGGCCTTTGTGTACAACAGAAAAATGTATAATTACTGTGAAATTTCTCGTTTGTGATTGTGGGTTGTACATTTGACAGCTTTTAATGAAATATCTTCTCACTGGAGGATGTTGCACAAGCCTGGTGACTAGAATACTCAGTAACTCGTGGCTTTTACGTATAGAAAATAGTCATTGCACAACTCAATGTAATTTAGCCAACAAAAACAGCATTTGAAAGTTTGTACTACCATAAGATCTGCTGTTGTATTCAAGTTTCTCTCTTGTCCATTAAAGTATAATAGATTAGCACATAGCTTAGACATATACAATAATGTTACTGTTGTAAAATCCAATTCAAAAATAAATCTTATAAAAATTCTTTGACAGAAACAATTCTTTATCATAAGTAATTAGTTCTGTATCAGACCGCTTGAGAGTCTATACTCAAGAAACTGTAAAAAATGATATATAATTACTCATAATTTAAGATAAAAAGACTTTACCTCCATTCTTCAAATTGGCACCTTCCTCGATAGGAATAACCAACAAGGGAAGAACTCCAGACAGGCCCACCATGATACTTCCGAGAAGAGAGAAGAACCATGGTTGATACTCAAAGTACTCTATAGCTGCATTCCATGGGGTCCAAATTTCTTCTGAGACAATTTCATACAGCATTCCTGCATCCGTACAATTCTCCATACACATAGTCATAGCCATTGCAATTAGCTTATTGTCAAAAATATAGTTCAAACTTCTGTCGTTACTCCTAGTAAGCACAACACTCCAAATATTGACAGTTGATATTTACGCTGTATGTTGACTTGGTGATACGTCTTCTATTAAACAAAGATATTGAATAGATCTACCAGACCTCGTATATGCCATAAACTCCTAGTGTGAGCAATCTTCTTCAATCCAGTAATACAGTAACTTGAGGCTCCAATCCAACTGATGATCATCCAGTGCACCGTACTAAAGAGTGTTGTAATTTGTATGCCATTTACGTTCTTTGGTTTAGTTTTGAGCTCGGTATTATTAACCGATCGTTTGGTCGTGGTAGGCCGTGTTGCTTCTTGGATGTTCAAAGCCTCGCCGTCTCGGCAACTATCAGCGACCGACTAGCCTACACTGAGGACTGAGTACGGACGTCTGAAGTTAGACTCTTAGTCTTGATTGAATAATCTCTAATTATTTCATCCCGCTCTTAGGCGAGATAATAGACTGTATAGCTGACCGCGTGCCCGGCCAGTTTCACAAAATCCTGCTTCAACGTACTGTGGAATTGTCGTTCAGAACTCTTCAACGTTACCACGGGTAATGCGCATTATGGCGTCCACACTAGCTTTATAGGCGCTTGCTGTTTGGAGGGAGAAATATAAAAAGAGATGGTGAATAATGGAGTATAAACATGTTAGAGAAAGAAACATAGTTTGTAGTTCTGCAGTGACCATGAAAATCGATAGAGGCGCTGCTGTGCGAAGCGTTCGAACAAAGAAAATGGAACGTATGAAATGATTATTAAAGTGTATGCAGGAGCTTTTTCATACTACAAATTGCAGGGTCCTACGATGCACTTCTTTTTTTTATAAAGAAGCCAGTCGAGTCTTAGGTAGAGATAAATTAATTTTGGATCAGTTTCATTCTGCAAAAATGATATCACTTATTGCGCAGTGCATGTTCACCTGTGAATAATAGTTATTTTTGGGTGATATTTTTAATAATACTTAAAGGATATATTCCATTTACAGGTTGTATTATTCTGGCATTGACAAACGTGTTAATACTTTATTTAGCTTACATCTTTTTTAAAATTATTGGGTCTTCTGTATTGATATACATATATATATTTCATCGATTATTCATTGTACATTCCTTATTTATTACGTTGATATTATTGCTAAATAAGAATGCGAAATATTGCGCGTCTTGTACTCAATTTATATATTCCAAAGCAATCAATAGTAATTCAAGAAATTTCCTCTTTCTCCTACTATTGAGTGTGTAATAAATATTATGATAAATGTATATCCATTAATGTAAACGAAGTAAATAGCAAAATAAAATTTTACTTTTGCATGCGACTCTATGAATAATGAATATGCATAAAATCGTATTTATAGCGTCATCCATATTGATCAATATCTTGCAATTTATTCTCATTGTTTAATTAAAAGCGGTGGCACTATGATAGCATGAAACTATAAAATACAATAGATGTTTTGCTGAACGTACAATCGAAAGTACGCCACATACTGTATTATATGTCGGTAATTCAAGTTGAAAGAAAACAGTTTTCTTCATTGTATCAGTTCCAATAATATATTTATAAACACTTAGCACATCAATGGTATGTAATTAGTATATGTATATATGCAAATATGTGATCTGGTAGGATGTCTCGTTTTCGCTCCTTATTCTTGTTCTTTATGACATAATTGATAACATGCGTTGATAACTGGATGTCGCGGCACCAAGTTTTGTATGACATCCGATACACCTAATGCCTAGCTACTTATCTTCAGTTACTCATGAGCGCTAAATGTCCAACAGTCGGTAACCAGTAAATGCAACATGTCGCCATCTTGTACTGAATTTTCATTGTCAAAGAAACCAGTTGTAGCCTTGCCATCCAAACTACACATTAGACAGTTTTAATTAATTAAATTGCTGATGGCAATTCGCCAAATGGCTCACGTTTGGCCTACAAGCAAAAGGAAAGCCACTGAAGAATTACTGGTATCTTGTAAAGGTATACAGGAAGTCTTAAACGTTGATATGTTTACGTGAACATAATAAACTGTCGATCTGAAAGATATATTGGATTCTGAATGACGTACTTGGCTTAGTGCCAAAGACAAGTGATATAATGATAATGAAAGAATAATAAAATTTTTGTAAATTTTTTTTTAATTTCGAACAGTCCCGCCTACAATATGGCTGGTTCCTCGTATCACAGAGAAGACAGCTCTCCAGTGCTTCTATTTTAGGATCTACATAAAGTTACGTTTATTTTAGTTACATTTTTCTGCTCTGAACCAGAACAGGGAAGCTCACGATTCGTTATACGTTACCGCCATGATGACCGAGTAAGCTATTTTTCGTTCTGCTTCATCGGTCGCGAAGTCTCGCGATTATAAATTCTTGATCAGTATACGTTAATACGATAAATTTAAAATGATTATCGTTTTGCAAAGATAAAGATAAAAGATAAAAATATAGTGCTAGTGAATTAGTGTGCGGACTGTAATGCATTCTTGACTATTGTGAAAAACTTGTTTCGCAGAATTTTTACTTTTTCTCTTCATTTTTTCGAAAACATGCTCGTAAATTGAAAATCGAACAATTTTTACAACATCGAGTGATAATACATTTTGGTCGAGATACCAAGACAGTTCAGTGTTCTTGCATATTATCGGATTCTTAGTTATCCATATAAGTATATCAATCGGTGTAGTGTTATTAATAAGCAATTATAGAATCGTCCCAGCTAGACTGACGATTTACGTTCGAAAACGATTTACGCATCATCTGTCTGCTTTGCTATATTTATTGCTCACCATTAATTTGTACTTTTTGTGTATTAGCCATATTATCTTCGTGAACTGTCAGTGTATATAAAATCGGTTATAAATATTGAAACGCTTGAAAATTTGATCTTTATGTTATTCAAAAACTGTTGTTTTTTTAATAGCTTATAAATTTATATATTTTTTATTTTACATTCCAATTGAGTCTATAAATCAATTGCGGCGATCGTCAAGCACACGGGCGCGATTTATAAACAAGAATCACACACTTTCCATTTCGAGTTATTTTTTAATTTCCTATTATTGTTCTACCACTATTTCATTTCTTTCGTTTCCGGTCTATCTGTACATTATAAAACGACTACGTCGCACGTCTCAACATGGATTTACGAAGAATGTCTAATTGGAATGTCCTGAGCGTGGAGGCCGCTCTTCAGCAGTTAAACAGTCACGAAGACGACGGCACGGAAAGAAGATTAAGACGTCCCAACACGGTAAGCAACTTGATAAATCCCGTAAATTCGAATTTTTCTGTATATATAGCGATATGAAAAAGCACAAAAATATATATCTTTAAATAGACCGAACAGCCGGATGTCAAAACTGACAGGAAAAATTTGGTTCTAATTTTATCAAATGGTCTTCATTTTATCTCTAATTTACACGTCGTTCTAAATAATTTCTTATATAGCAACACGTTAAAATTAAAAAAATTTAAGCAAAACATGTAATTTTTAAAATGTTGATCGATAAAACCAAACCAAACACATACATATATAATTTTGAATATCGATGTCTTTCCCCGAGATGCATCAATGCAGTTGAAAATGTCGATAACGTCTTCCCCATTCTGGCCCTCTGCCTGCCTTTATTTATAACTAATTAAAGCAGACTCAGTTGCAAGTGCCCACTCCTAGGATCCGGGCAACTACTAAAAGCGTTAGCGATCGATCAAAGAGACTCCGTATGCATCAGTCTTCGGAAGAGTTGAAATTTTTCAATGATTTCCGAAATCCAAGGAGAGTTTATTGCATAAATAATAAAAAAATGTCATCATTTCATTCGCCATGAATGATACAAGTAAAACGGAGTACCGGTGTATTAAATCGTGAAATTACTAAAGTGCAAGTTCAAGATATTTCTAGAATTTTTCTACGTCAGTGCATCGATCATCATGAGCACCTGGACACAATTGAACGTCGAACATGCCACAAATGCAATTTCCAGAGATGATCTGCATAGCAGTATTCGCAGAGGGAATTTACCGGTAACGCTTTTCCTCATCAGTGATGACATCATCATTTGATAGTATCAATAAACATTGCATCGATAATTAAAATATTTTTAATGATCAGTTAAATTTATGGAAATTATTACGAGGTTCAATGATTCCCAATTTATTCCTGCCATTTAATTAGTGTAGTCAAACAGTCGTTGATGACTCTCTATATTGATGGATGAATTTTCAATAAGCTTTTAATGCCCAACTAGACTGGGAAAACGAGATCAGGCACGAGAGGCGAATTATTTGTTGAAATAGGAAGGTCAATAATGTAATAAGAAGCCAAGCATGTCCGGCACACGTTCCAATTAGAGGTGGGTCATGAAATTAATGATATATCCGACGTGTAAGCTGCTATCCTGTGGTGGGTTTAAAATTAAGTTTAACCAAGTCTCCGGGTATATTTAGTTTCGCGCGCAGGCGCTATCCGATTAACCACAGAACTTGTTGGTTTGCTTCAAATATTGCACTGCCTATTCATCGCACAACGGTGCACTGTTATTTGTGAATACGTTGAAAAGACAAGGGAGTCGGGAGGCCTGTGTTCATTGGTTAGGGACCAGTTTTATTTTATTTTTTTAATATTTATTTATCAGTATTGAATTTCCAGTGTTCGTTAGTCTAAGTTTTTTTTTTGTGGTGATAGGCTAAGGTTTTTATACAGCTAGAAAAATGGATCTGGGTGGCGTCGACGTTTGGGGACAAATTGCCCTAGAAACGTCTCAAATGTACGTTTCTGAGGGTGGCGTTATTAAAAGCCGTTTTGCTGGTACAGTAAGTTCATTTAAAATGAATAACAAGAATCTCAGTCAATTCGAAGATCCCTGATCGATTTCGTAAGATTTTTAGACAATGTTCTATATATGTCTCAGGTAGTAATAAAGTCAACGTCACAGATTTTATACCACACTGGTTTTTTACTTTTATATAAATTTTGAAATTGGTCATTCGACAATTTGTGATTGGTATATTTGTAAGGAGAGATTGGTTCCTAAAAAAATTATTTTTCAATATATAATCTATGGTAATAAATTATAAATGTTATCATTTTCAGACTATCGAAAAACTCCCGGATAAGGTTATTTTGAATATCTTCAGTTACCTGTCGCATCGCGAAATCTGCAGGGTCGCTCGTGTTTGCAAACGGTGGCGACAGATCGCCTACGACACCAGACTATGGAAATACGTGTCCCTGAGACCGGAAGTCAGCGGTCTTCACGTTGGATCACTTGAAAGTCTTCTTCAATTAATCAGGTGTGTTTTGAAAGTTAATTTTTTTACAAAGTAATTATCTAATTAATCGTTAATTATATTTCAGTACTCGTTTTGGACCTTCTCTACGTTACATCGAATTGCCAATCGAACTTATCACTCATACGGTTCTACATGAATTGGCGAACAAGTGTCCTAATTTAACTCACATGTTATTAGATTTCTCAACTGCCATGCAGTTGCACGACTTTTCGGAGATGCAGGCATTTCCCACAAAACTAAAATACATGTGCATATGTCTGTCCGAGGTCATTTTCATGGAAGGTTTCATGAGAAAAATTTACAACTTCATAAACGGCCTTGAAATTCTTCACCTGATTGGTAAATTAATTGCAAAGTCACTACTCCCCAACTGCCCAATAATTTTACTCATGAATTTTGGTCTTGAATAAAGTGAATTCTGTCCAGGAACCTACGAAAAGGTTGAAGAAGAGGAAGAGGAGATCTACGAGGTGATAAACGTTCATAAATTAAAATCAGCCACGCCAAATCTTCGGGTAATCAATCTCTACGGCATCAACTTTGTCGACGACTCTCATATAGACGCCTTCTCCTCGAACTGCATCCAATTAGAATGTCTGGCTGTGAATTTCTGTGCTAAGGTCACCGGCTCCACTATGAAGACCCTGTTTCAGCGTAGCCGACGACTACGTTGTCTCCTGATGCAAGGAACCAGTAAGAACGACTTCCTCTACGTAATCCTTATCTCTGATTTGACAATGAGATTGTGAAAATATCCTCTGCTAACATTCTAACAAGTCTGGACCGGTGAGAATCACGCGAATCGAAGGGGCGCCTTTCAGACCTCCAAAGCGAGTACGTCATGCAGGTGGAATGGGAGAAGTCCAGCATCCAGGAACTTGACATCACAGCCACTGATGTCTCGACCGAGTGCCTGATCGATATGCTCACAAGGATTCCTGGTTTGCGCTTCCTGAGCGCCGGTCAGCTTAATGGCTTCAATGACAGCGTCCTAAAAGCTTGGACCGAGCTTGGCAATCCTCGAAATTTGATAGCACTTGACCTCGCTAGTTCTGACAACCTCACTGACGATGGTCTCCATAAATTCCTATCGCGACACGGTCATCAACTCTGGGGAATTGTTCTATCTGGCATGCAACACATTACGGATCAACTCTGGCAAAGCGTTTTGCCGATCTTAACAAACGCTAAGTAAGTACTAAATAGCTGGATATCATTGAGACGAAGAATTATAAATATTTTGTACGTTCAGAATCGTCGTCATGGGAACTCAGGACAGACTGGGTGTCAATATTCACGTGGATCAACTTATGGATGGAATAGCTAATAATTGTCCTAATTTGGAGCGACTCGAGTTACGTTGGGATCCAGAGAATTTAAGATTTTCGGACAAAAGTCAAAAGGCTATCGATATACTTCGTGTCAAGTGTATAAAATTACGCTGTTTGGTTTTGAGGTAAAATCAATAATATTTACACAGAATCAAATATATCACTAATATGAATATCGTTTTTCTATGCTCTAGCGATGGACGATATTACGAGATAGTAAAGGCGAATTTCGAGAGAGCTGACAGGACTACTGTGGTGCGAACCACCACTTGCTGCAGAGTATCGAACTACTATCTCCTGCAAAACTACAAGGATCTGATTTTCAATTGACATCGTATTTTTGAGAATATCAGAATAACCTTAAGTGCCTCTTACAAAAGTACTAAATACTATAAAAGTCATATATATAATAAAAATATAGTGCCTCCGACAATTTTATGTTTACCAAAAAGAAATCTTTCTAAGAATTATCGATCTTGATTTTAACATTAACATAATTGATATCACGTAATATTACTTGCGAGTAGGTTATCCAGTCGTATAGACACATATCACGTGAAGTTCTAGATTCGCGAGTCAAACTACTTAATGAAAGTTTTCATTGTAGCGTATGGTCATATGTTGTTCACGGGATACGACAAACCGTGGGATTTGTTTGTCCAAAGGATTTCAAGGCGCAAGCGTGGCCTCACGTGTAGCTAGTGTAACACAGGTTGTCCTACCCTGGATTGACACGGATCGTAACGTGACTCGTTATCGATTATTTAATAATTTATTCATGCCTGCTGATGGAGTCCCTTAACTCGCCACAAGGAATCGATCCCACGACTGGCCAGTACTGGGCGAGACGGTCGCTCGTGCGTCTCAAGAGAAATTCTAAGCATTTTATTCAGACAATAAAAATATACAATATTCCATGTCGGATTGTGAAGAAGACCTGGCCGAGAGGCGAATTAAAATCGTACTCGTAGGCGACTCTGGTGCTGGTAAAGTAAGTTTCTTCATTGCGTTTAGGAGCATTCTTTACCATTGCACTATTTAAATCAAATTTACAAATAACAAGATACAAATTTTACTTACGGTTATACATACTCTTAATTAATTACTCAGAAATGCAGTTCAGACATATTGATGGTACTGGATTTTAATTTATTGCACGTTTCCAAAGCGCCATCGAATTTCGTAATTGGATAGGTTCTCAGAATTTAAATTCAAAGGTGCTCCTAGACCAGCATTGCTGTTAAATTCTGCAACGACGAATTCACAAGGCAGTACACACCCACAGCTGGTATAGATTTTTTCTTGAAGAACGTCGGTCTAGGATGCTACAAAAATGTCAATCTTCATCTTTGGGACGTGGGCGGTCTTGCACTTCATGGAAATATGCTCGACAAATATGTCTTCGGTGCTCACGTAGGTGATGATCGCTTTTGATAGGAAATGTCAAGGGCGATGGTATTAAAATTATATGCGTATATATACTTTTTAGATTATCCTGCTGGTGTATGATGTAACGAACAGCTCGAGCTTTGAGATTCTTCAGGAATGGATAGCGGAGATTAAGGAACTCAATAATATATTTCTCAAGCGACCGTTAATGGCGATTGTGGGGAATAAATGTGATATGGAACATCAAAGGACAGTTAAGCGGGAAAAGTCGCTTCGATTCGCTGCCGAGAATGGATTTCCATATCACGACGTGTCTGCCAGAACTGGGGAAGCGGTGAGTGTCCAGCGATTTTGGGATTCAAATAACTTTTTTTAATTGCGATTCTGATTATTTCGTTATATTATCTGTAACGGTAACATTTTTATTCAGATTGTGACTATCAAAAACATTTATTTCCTCGCACGTATCAAATGTTAGATACTGCATTTCCGGGATGCTATATATTTTTCTTGTCGAAATCATCTACATGATGAAGCAAAACGAATGCAAAGTGGACTGTGTTGTAACTTTTCATTTTATAGGTTTCCTTGTGTATGATCAATTTGGCTGCGCAAATTTTGGGCGTCAGACTCACAAGGATGGATCAGGAATTTCACAGACCTATTGTCACGGCAGAAATTGGTGACACGGTCGACGTCTCGACGGTACAGAAAGTCGTGAAACGTTATCCAAAAAAACAAAATCCGGTGGATCTCAATCGTTCTCCTCCGGGTTCGAAATCTTCAGTATGTTCTTTGCAATAGAGTCGTGTCAGTGGCTATATTTCCACCGGAGTTGAATAAGAGTTAAAATACATTGAATGTATATCTCTAGTGTAGTAATGTATAGATGTACATACAAGACACGTATTTTATCTGTCAACTTCAATCTGGTGGAAATATAGTCAGTTTCTCTATTAAGTACACTTTTTGTAATTTATTCGAATTTAATTAAAAATAGAAATCTTAAATATGTTATGCAGGAGGCATTTTTGTGCTGTAAATTTTATATATTGTAATAATGGTTTAAGATGTAAATGCATTTATAAATTTCTGAATAATTGTTCGATTTTCATTCAGTGTTATAAATACTAAAATCTTCGACTTTGTATTTGTCTTATCTGTAACAAAACGTACTAGTAAGTTTTGAACTTGGAAATTTTAAGTATGAGATTCTTGAGTAAATGAGATAGTAGGGAATTGAAGTCAAGAAGATTATACGAGTTTATAAGGATTCTTTTATAATAGGTTATACAGAATAATCTTGTTTAAGGTAAAGCAGAGATTCTCAACTCTTCCGAGGAATGATATCATGACAATTTGATCAGCGATTGCAAAACAAGAAAAAACTATGTAAATGATTAGGATCCATTATTTTGGAGCAAAATGAAAAAAGTGCTATAATGCAACAAAGCCCAGAAAAAAGTTTTGATAAATTACTATGTAACGTGCCTTAAATATAAATTTATTCATAGTATATTGAACATCGTCTGAGGGTCCAAAACCATTATGAAATACTCGGAGTATATAGGAAGTAATTTAGAAACTTGTTTTATTCGCAATCCGTGATAGATTGAATAATGATTATATTACTATTGATGATAATTATAATGATATTAGAAACAATATTTACATTAAAATTCACTTAATAATTCAATCACATTATCACATACTGATGTAAGATAATGAACGCCTTCACTACAGTTATTATTGATAGTTTGTCGATGGGTAATTACTATTTAAAGATTGCATTGAGCGGAAGATAAAACTTTGTGGCATAGCCGTATATAGATTAATCAGAAAACAATATTAAATTGATAGTACATTAAAATCATTCTCTTCCACAATGATAAAATATGCATTCGGCTTTTAATATTCATATAGAATATAATTAAGTGATACACGTATAAGATGTAACGGAAATTCTAAAAACTTAAAATTTAGCAATACAAAGTGTAACGGAACAATGGTCATACAATATTCCCGGTTTTATATTTTCAAACACACAGAAAAATATATTAAACACAACGCGGATAAATATAAATATATTCTCAAAATCATGTCCCCATAAATACACTACTGTGCATACATATATATTATTAGTGCTACAGTCTATAAATTGTTTTGCTATTTATTTTTTCGTTTCATTTGGGTATAATCTTTTTTCTTGCAGTCAATGCTACTTCAGAAGTGTGATTTGTCAGATTGCAATAAGATTCATGAATTCTGCTGTCTTTAAAACGGTGCTAAGAACAAATGACTTTTTTTTGTTCAATTTTAATTAGCCAAAATGGCTAATATTATAAACTGATACCTCAATAATTATACTACATATGATTATTTATACCTATACATTATCTCTGAGACTCCTTTCAAATACCCTGTCCTTGTGAAAAATCAAAATTTGTTCTGTACCGTGTTCCTACGTGGAAGAATTACCTAATTATCAGTCTCTCGTGTTGCTCTGTCCAAAGAAGATGTCTTAATCAATTTCTGTACTTCCACATTTTATTAAAGTTCAATTTTTGTCAGTGGTCTTCGTGGCCATGCATTCTTCTTCAAAATTTTCTCCTTCGCTTCCCAAAGTGAGGTCACTTTGTCATTTAATGGAACCATAAACGTTTCAATCCATTCCTGAATGGTGTAGTTATCATAAATACCATCCATGGCTGATCTTACTACCTTTTCGATGTCAAGTAATTCCATTTTGAAGTTATCCAGGTCGGCTACTGCATGTTCCACATGACTAGGACTAGAAAAAGCGTATTTCAGATTGTATTCCTTCATCCAACCTTTGAACGTGTTTTCCTCTTCCATTTTACTTATTTCTTGAGACAAGGAATACAATCGTAGTGTAGCTGTGTATACAAGTACTCCTTGGTAGACGCACTTGGTCCATCCATATTGAGGTTCTGGTATATTCAAGGAAATGGTACTTTCGCATTGTAGGGCGTCTGTGATTTGACGTGGAATCTCGTTGGGAAAAGTATTTAACTCAGAAGAGCGTAGAACAGCTAAATTGACTGCAAGTGATGGAATGGCAGCAGGTAATAACTCGCAGAGCACACTGAAATGGTCATATCTTTGCCAGCCAGTTAAAATTGCTCCTTTAAAGTTGATCTTGTGAGAGTATTTTACAATAATTTCTAGCCAGCGCTGATGATTTTCCAAATGGTATGCAATGTCTGTATAGTAGCGATCTGGAGCTGTAGCACCTTTGAAAGCTGTTGCTATCCAAACTGCTGGCCAGACAAGAGCATAATTATCCCAAAGTAAGTCATTCAAGGAAGCACCAGGATCGGTTGTATATTTCCATACAACAGGTTCAACAAGTTTGTTCAAACCTTTTTCCAAAATTTCCTGAGGTAATATTTCTCGAAATTCATCATCCCACATGAGGATACTTAACTTTGGATATTTTTCTTTAATGTATTTTGCTACTCTGGTGACATGATCTAGGAAGAGCTGTCTTTTTCCCCATTGCTTTTTATCCATAACTTCGAAACATCGTGAACACTCTCCAATTTGATAAACCTCGTCAGCTCCTATATGCAAATATTTTATATTGGGATGTGCCTCCACCACTTGATCTATCATCTTGTGCAAGAGTATCAATGTTTTATTGTACGATGGGCATAATACTTGAGGATATCGAAAGACTTCTCTGTAATCTTTGTACTCATCTAACTTAAGGACAAATTCTAGGTGTCCAAAAGTTTGTATCAAAGGAATCACAATAAGATCATTCTCTTCAGCAAGCTTTTGAATTGTTTCAATGTCCGCTTTAGAATAGCAGTTACCCGCACTAATAATACTAATGTGTTCTTTAAACGGAAACATATCCTCATATTCAATTAAGATTCCAGTAGCTCCAAGTTTCTTCAATAATGGTAATAGGTGCTTGTAATACCCGATAACAGGTGGAGCACCTTTCAAATCAAGATGCACAATCTTGTGGCCCTTAAATAAAGGAGTTGAGTCACTAAAGGCCTTTCCATATTTATTTTCATCTGATTCTATGTTTCTGCCATTATTTTTCAGATTTTCCATTATTTGTGCCTCTAATTGTTGACGCCTTGCGATATTTCGCGGACTTTCTGTAAGATCACTAAGAGGATACACATCCTCAATCTTCAAATGAGAGTTGATCTTCAAAGAGGAAATGTCATCAACTTCATTGCTCAGAATATGATAAATAATGACAAGCAGAGTAAAGATAATCATCAGAATAATTGTAAGGGGAGCACGACCTCTTAGGCGTGGCATTTTGTTGGAAAATCACGACATAATCAAGTAAAAAGTTTAAGAAGACAGCGTACGTTGTGCACACCAATATCCAGAAGAAAAAGCGTAATTTGCTTAATAGCCAAATGAATAGTTTGCGGCAATTTTACATTGATGACAGTATTTTTTGTTGTTGTTATACCGCGGTTAATTGTATTGTTGAGGTTATTTTATTATGCCTTGCACCTTGTCACAACTGACCTCACTGCAATTTCAAGTTCTCTTCTCTTTATTACTTTTTACTGCACGCACTTTTACACAAAACTACAGTCAGAAAAATTTTGTTGTCGCCATCTGGATCATACACATTGCATTCTTTTCAGAAGTACCAACATGCACCGTCTATACTTTTTTTCATATTTTGGGCAACACTGAATACGGTAATAAAAATCAACAAGCCATGTGCGTAAGGATCAGTTAGGTATAAGGAAATAGTATACTTATTACAGTCTTGCGTAGATAGGATTCATTCTTGTAAAAATGATTGAAATTGGTGGTCTGCAGTGTGTTTGGGGTAAATTAGAGACACATCCAAAATGTCCACATGGTATATATTATATTACTAGACTGTAATACTTTTCCAAAGACAATGGTCTTATTATAACATTTATTTGCAGGACCAACTTTGTTATTAGAGAAACATGTGGATGGCAAGCTACAGCAATTTTATTCTTGCTCTGCTTATCGTGATGCAACATTATGTTCTTTTTATGTAAAGCCTAAAGAAAAACTAACAAAGGAAAAGAAACAGAGGTGGGAACAAGAATTGAAAAAATTACCGAAATATAATCATCATAAATTATATATTCATTTCAATGAACTTATGGTAGTAAGTCCAGAAAAAAGAGCTTACTGTCACAATTGTGAAAAATTAATTTTTATGTCAGAGATAACTAAACATAATGAACATCTTTTGACAAAAGAGTTGACGGATACTCAAATGAATAATCCTACTACTTTTCTCAAACCACTGACTAATGCTAAAAAGGAAGCACAGTATTTATTTTCAGAAAAATCTGTTAATGACATAATGAACATTCTGTTAAATATGAATGCAGATCAAGTTCTTTGTATTGGAGCACCCAGGATACATGAACATATATGTGCAAATTATCCAAACAAAATATCCAGTCTTCTCTTAGATTTTGATGGAAGATTTGTAAGTATTTGCAATATAAATTACCATTTTATCACTAAAGGTATATTAGTATTAATATTCATTTACAGCATAATTTTTTTGGCCCATTAAGTTTCTGCTGGTACAATCTCTTCAATCATCATTTTTTCCATGAAGAATCAGAAAACGTGTTTAAAGATTTCCTTACTCAAAATGGTGGAAAAAATATGTATTTAATATGCGATCCGCCATTTGGAGGACGCATGGAAGCTATGTCTCAAACTATAAAAACAATTTCTGACTTGTATAAAAAGTTAAATAAGATTGAAAATGATGATGAATTAAAGATCATGTTTATCTCTCCCTATTTCATGGAATCCATTATGAAACAAAAATCGAATCCATCTGGTGTTTCCGGTGGTCTGAAAGACCTACAAATGTGCGACTACAAAGTTGATTATGATAATCATCCGTTGTTCTTAACGGGATCAAATGGCAGAAAGCAAGGTTCACCAGTTCGTATTTTTACAAACATTCCACTGAACCTCATAGAGCTGCCTACAGAAGATGGATATAGATATTGCAAGCAATGTCAAAAATGGATTGCATCAGAAAATAAGCACTGTAAGAAGTGTAAACAATGTACATCTAAAGATGGTCGAAGATACAAGCACTGTGAGATTTGCCAACGATGTGTCAAACCTACATGGAAGCACTGCAATACTTGTAAACGATGCATCTTGGAAAAGCACATATGTGGTCAAACACCAAAAATTACCGGACAGTGCTTTAAATGTAATGCATTTGGTATGACATTTTTTGAATTCATATTAACTATTTATTGTATTATAAATACTTTGTTATATCTTCTTCTGATAATGTTTCTTCTTCTAGGGCACATTGAAAAAGACTGTAAATTTAACATTGAAAGTTTCATAGAGATAAAGCCTGTGAAAAAATTACAGAAACGCAAGAGTGACAACATAGAAGAGATTACCGTGAAAAAAAAGAAAATTGATTCCACATCTGCAAAACAGCAAGAAACTAATAAAGGCAAACCAAAAACAACCAAGTTAAAGGAGTCTGTGTCTAAGAAGTCTAAGAATCTAAAGATGCAGCGTAAACCAGCGACGGTATTAAAAGGAAAAACGAATAAAAATTTACCTGTGCAAAAATTGCTAAAAAATTCAAAAACTGTTGATACCAAAAAGAAATCATTTTCGGATAAACAAAAATAACTTCAGGTATTAATAAGAAAAAAAAAATTGTTAACGCATACTTCGTATGTAAGATTTATATGATGACGAGATTTCCAATATAATACAATTATGTGTAAAGTAAATATAATTTTTCACATATTCATTATGCCAATAGAATGTCTGCTTTTTTTTTTTGAAAACCTAACACCCGTGATATCACCAGAATAAGAACCATTTCATAGTCATATGTTTAAATCATATGGAATATCCGTGATCCAACAATAACCAGTGCGAAAAATATAATTTTTATATTCATCCTACATTCACGCAAATGGACTAATCCATAATCCTTAGAGTGTTCTATTGTGACAGTATGTTTTGAGTGCAGATATGAATTTAAAAGTCAATAGATTTCTACTATATAAACCCGAGACGGTTACCTCCGAAAAGTCAGAAGTCCTTTATCGCTTCAATAGAGCAGTCAGCGACTTCACCATAGAAAACAAAAGATTATTAAAGCAAAAAAATGCTGAAACTGTGTACCGTAATTATGGTTTTCATTTCTATTAGTTTTGCTTGTCTCATAACAAACTGTCCTCGTGGTGGGAAAAGAAGTGGAGCTATCACGTCGCTAGAAAATATAGTTAGAGAGGTAAAAAATCACAACTTGTATAAAACTAATTAAATTTTACCTTACAAATTTTAAATCTTCATTTCACGAATAGCAAACTATTTAATTCCACTGTTTAATGTTTTATATGTAGTGTCCTTCTTGTGGGGCTGATAAACAAGGCCAATGTTTCGGTCCTCGAATTTGCTGTGGTCCTTCCCTAGGATGTTTAATTGGTACTCCAGAGACACATAAATGCAGAAAAGAAAGTCTTTTCTCAAGACCTTGCATCGCAGGATACGCCATGTGTCGAGGTAATACCGGAAGATGTGCAGCTAATGGGATTTGCTGTACGCAAGGTAATGCGAAATATTGTCAGACATTTATATTGCGATAAGACTAGTCGTAAATTTAATGTTGTTTTATTTCTATGCTTTTAGAATCATGCTATGTGGATGATACCTGCAGGATTACAGATGACGTCAATAACGATCATAGGATTATTTCCGAGCTCAATGGATTTCTTAACGAAGGCAATGTCTTGGCAGATCATAATCAGTAGTCGTTTAAATCGAATAGTACACCTGTCACATTCTCTAAGAGTATACATCATATAATTACGGCTTTGACAAGAATTATATTGCAAATATAATATATTTTACTTTTGCAAAATGTGAATATTTTGCATTACACGAGAAATAATTAAAATAGGCTGTAATGGCTGTCACGCATTATAATTTGAAACTTAAATAAAAGCGTACAAACTTTATCTATCTCTATTCTCCTCTATTCCACATCTGAGGAAACTCGCAAGCTCTGCATTGCTCTGCATAAAAATGTCTAATCATAATTATTACTCCAATAGATAATTTTTTCGTACTAACAAAAATTCCCATTAACAATTTTAATTTTTTAAATTACCAAAATTACATATTTGACTTCTTTCGAAAATAGCGGGAATTTAAATTCAAATGCTACCAAGAGATGTTGGATAACCTTTACATCAGCTCGTGTCGAAAGATGGCTGCGCCCTGGTTACGTTTAGCCCTAAAGATTTCGCCGAAAAATCAAGTGAATTATTCTCGGTTTTACGCCATTCTATACGCTAAACGTTGTTTGACCACACGGACAACGAATTCGCCTCAAAACAACAAGAAAGTATTTGAAAAAAACGCTGAAAACGTCTTAACCTATGCTGCAGTATTAGCTACGACTATAGGTTATGCATTTTATAAATGGAAAGACGAGATTTTTGACAACTTTAAAAGCACAGTGTCACCTTTTCTGACTGTACAGGCGAAGGGATTATTTGGAGGTGAAGTTAACGAAAATAGGGACAAATATAATTTCATAGCTGATGTCGTCGAAGTGTGTGCACCTGCTGTGGTATATATAGAAATACAGGATAAAAAGAGGTAGGTACGTTTATTAGGAGTTAAATGAAATGCAATAACATGTACATACATATATGGATATAGATTTAATAATGATACAAATTTTGAAGGAATTTATATAACGGTCTCATCGAGTAAATTGTATATTTCTGTAAAGTATATTTAATGGTGACTGATACAGCGATTCATTGAAAAATAGGTTAGATATTTTTACCGGCAAGCCGCTCACTACCAGCAATGGATCTGGATTTATTGTCAGTGAGGATGGTTTGATTTTGACGAATGCACATGTCGTTATTAACAAACCAAACACATTCGTCAAGGTAAATGTGAGTCCATTAGACCCGCCTATCCAATTTTGTATGTATTCCTGACTGATCCTATCTTTATATTCCTATTTGTACCATGTCACAATATTAACGAGAACAATTGTTTAGTTGTGAATTGCTCTGCTTGGGTCTGGCAAGACTTTTTTTTTATAAGCATTGCGTTGTTTTAGGTACGTCTTCAAGATGGCACCACCTATCCGGGAATTGTAGAGGACGTCGATATGCAGAGTGACCTTGCAACTGTGCGCATCAGTAAGGTGTGCATTTATGATGATTTTCGAGTAATGTTACTTATGCTTTAGATTCAACAATTAAATGTTAGTATTAGATTTAAAAAGTTAAGGTATACTGTTTTTAGACAAATTTACCAGTCATGAAACTTGGAAGTTCTTCGAATATCAGACCCGGTGAATTCGTAGTAGCTATTGGTTCACCATTATCTTTGAGCAACACTATAACGAGCGGAGTGGTGAGCAGCGTAAATAGACAGAGTAAAGAACTTGGACTTAATAAACAAATGGGATATATTCAAACGGATGCAGCCATTACGGTAACCCTTAATTATCTAATATCCGAATAGAAGATTTGGTAAACGCATTAAAAATGGTATTTATACACAGTTCGGTAATTCAGGAGGGCCGTTGGTAAATTTGAACGGGGAAGCTATTGGCATAAACGCTATGAAAGTCACAGCGGGCATTTCATTTGCGATACCCATTGATTACGCCAAGGATTTTCTTAAAAAAGCAGAAATGCGTCGTAATAATAAAGGTAAAAAAATAATCTTTAACGAAAAATTAAAACGCTAGAATAAAACGCAAGAATAAAACGCATTATCTTATCTCACGAGTAGTCATAGATTCTTAAAGAACTTTAACGAAATATTGCTGGCCGGCTTTGGGATGGGGTGAGCGTAACACAAGCAATTTGATATTTACATGATGTAGCTGAGCTGCTAAATAAGTTTTAAAAAATGTTCTTTGTTTTTCTAAACTTTATTAATATTACGTACTTTTTAAAATCTTAAAACACAGAATGCTTGGGAATATTTAGAAAAAGTGTAAAACCCCTGTAAAAGGCTAGTTTCCAGTATTATTTCTCCAGACCAATATATAACATTCGCCTCAGGCTCAGTTCTTGTAGGTATGCAGGGTGCTGCGGAGACCGTGAAACGACGTTATCTTGGCATTACGATGCTCTCCCTCACTCCTGAAATACTCCTCGAGTTGCAACAGAGAAATCAGAGTATTCCACCCAGCGTGAAACACGGAGTTCTCGTCTGGAAAGTAATGGTTGGCTCCCCCGCTTACTTGTAAGTTGTATTAATTTCTCTGGAAATTCATTATTACTTATTAGATCAATTACATTAGAATAATCATGCCACTTTATATTAACAGCGGAGGTTTAAGGGCTGGTGATATTGTGTCGCACATAAATAATAACCCTGTCGTCGAGGCTGATGATATCTACAAAGTCTTAGCAAATACAGGACCGGTAGTCATGACCGTGGTGCGTAATGGTGAAGTTCTACATATCAGTGTAGAGCCTGAAGATGTTTAAATAAATATAAAAATAATCAATCGCAACAATATATTTTATATTTTAAAATGAAAATAGACACTGATACACGATTGTTGTAATTTTGTAAAGTGTGTCTGCTGTCGTAGAATGATAAACATCATCCGTGTAATAAAGATATTTATAACAATAAATATATTGATAGTGTTACTCGAAATAGTAATGGCGCCTCCATCTAAGATAAGTTATGCTAACAACTAAGTTTATTTGGATGAGAATTCTATTTAAAATCCTCTCGGGCGTAGCGCTCTGGTTCCACGATCTCTTCCGGTGATCCGTGGGTGGCAGATCCAAGGACGGATAGACAATGCAGTCACGTTGACAACAAATTAGCGATCTGATAAGTCCGGGAGTCAAGGAACGCCCACGATGTCTACTGTCCACCTCGGTGAGAACAAGACTAAAACGTAGCTACCCCGCCGAGATAAACTTCACAACTGGACATGCGTGACCAAACAAAGAGAAGATTTTTTGATTCTCTCTGCTGGAATGATAGATAATTGAGAAGTATCCAGCGGCTGTAACTACATCTAAAAATCTACCGATTTATTTATTATAAGCAAGTAATAATTCTTCCTCGCCGCCATTAACAGTCCCACAGACAATAAAATCTCTAGAATAATTTTGTAAGTTCAATATAACAAAGATTGTTCTCTTGCATAAACCCAATGACCCTACATATTATTTATACTGAATATCTTAACGGGCTGCGACGTCGTTCTCCCGAAGTAACATTACAGCCATCACCATTCTCATTTTTCAAACCGAAATGTTCCTTCCTGTCGGGTTATGGATGGCGTCGGATACGAGTAAAACGTACGCACGACATAAAGTCAGTATATACGCCGGGTGTGGTCTCCATCTTGACTGCATTATGTTTACGACATAAGCGACCTCCACAAACATGTGACCGGATCTCTGACATACGTACATTCACAATCAGTCCACCATGGACGTGCAAAACCATAAGTATGGGTGTGGTCAAAGGGTTTGAAAATTGTTCAAAAAGTTTCAACCGTCCGCCTAACAAACATATCGTATCAGGATACCAAGTGACTATCCAGGAGGATCGCCACGTGGATAAATTCCGCATTGAAGAAAGGAATTCACACATTTTTTTCTCTTCAACGTACCACGAGCATTTACACGGTCTCTCCGGCGTTCTTATTAACCTGTTGCATCCCAGGATCAGCTTCAGAATCTGCACCGTAAATTGTCTCCCATAAAAGCAGCTTGCAGGTCCGCGTTTGCTTGGTGAATAAAATTTAAAAGAATCTCACCAGGAAAGTCATACCTCCTCCGTGCGCAGTACGTATCTAAGAGAGCAACAAAAGGTAATAGAAAAATTGCATAGACCTCTCTCTCTCTCTCTACATGAATAAAGTTACGAACGTCTCTGTTCCTTTTTTATTTTATTTTAGAGGCCGGTTTTTAGCCTACCGATGTGTCTACTTCCCACACGTGTTGTATCGGCTCTCGATGCCACGGCCTCTGCAAGAGAAGACAAATAGACACCCGTAAAATCAGCGAGTTCTCTTACCTACAATAACAGACTCCACTCTTGGACTTGGTCTTGGTTGCCCCGAGATATTCTTCAGATTGCGACTCGCCTACACTGTACATGCCGTTTGCAAGGATCCGTGTCCTTTGCTCGCAGGAAACTTCCTTCCAGGAGGTGCTTTTAAATGACTGGAACTGATTCAACGATGACGCCTCTGCCAGGTCGCGTCCACACGAGGGCGATAAGAGGTACGGTGCACGAATCCCAAACCATGAGAATACAAGTTCCGGAGGATGATAGGCGGCTTTGAGATCTTTTGATCTTGATGGCTTTCGCTATTAGCAGGAGGCAGATTACATTCTTTAATGCATCGTGGCCATGCAGGTACTACTTCAGCCATTAGGCTATTATATTTTGTATTGGGCCAACGCGTTTATCGTTGGTTATCTATTTATAGATCATCCACTACAGATCCTCTCACATGGGTACTGAGTTTAAAACATATATGAGTACTATGTATTTAAGAACTGAGATCATTGTGTGTATATATATATATATATACATATATACCTTGTTGCTAATGGTACTCGCATTATGCGTAACAGTAATGCCAGTGACTAGCTGGAAGGGTGATAACGGTAACTGGCTTTGGTAGTCGAGTTATTGAGTAACCGAGGAACTAATTTCAGTTCATTTTTACATGGGCTTACAATTGGACGATATATATAGACATAGTGGTAGGAGTGTGTATAGAATCTACTACAATAATGGGAGAATATCGTGATACACGCTAGACTGCGGATCTATATACTACGAATTGCAGGTAATGCTGGATTCGCGGCGATGCTTTTCGAGGAATTTTAAACAATAGAGGAAGCATAATGAAAGTTTAACGCACGACGGAGTCAAAATATGAAACAACTATGGATTTTCGCGTGAAAGATTCGTCTGGTTGTGGATAGAGAAATAAAACCACGGTGATGGACAAATACTACCCTGTTCCTTGGAATTGGAGAATTTTATACCGGGTAACGCATTAGTTTTGCAAGAACGCACTGGTACTTGTGTTTTCGATATAATACAGGGTGGTTCGTTTAATTCTTTTAAGAGTAATTTTAAATTAACAAAATTGCGATCGTAAGGACCGAGTAAAGATATTTCTCTGTAATTACTGTCTACGCACGGTACGCAGGTAATTTTATTGTGAATTATTTTCTTCTGCAAATTATCCGTGCAGAATTTTCGCCGTGCATAAAAGAAAGAAAGGCGTATCCAGACACAAAAAGGATTTTATGTCGACCTGGTAATTCACGTATGCAATAAATATATATATGACTTGGCAGAATGTAAGCATTTTGACCCTGAACGTCAGTGCGATACATTTTTATAATATCCTGAAACATAAGATGCCCTATAGTTCGTGTTAAATCCAAGAAGTCGTCAGGATATCATATTGCGTCGACTGAGGATCCTTGAAACTCTAAAGAGTAAGACTGGTGGATGGAGAACAAGATCATAATGGGTGGAACGCATTAAGAAATGCCTCTTTCGGATTGACACCCGTGTTAAAATCACTACACGTAGATACAGTTTACACGAATACGTCCATTTGTTGGAGCCTCTCTAGAGGCTCGTGGAACCATCGTAGTGTTGCCATTAAAAATCCCAGTGGCGGATGTAGTTAATATATTTTCAAATAATCCCGACACGTACGTACGACTGAGATAAATAAAAAGGCACAAAATTGATTCGCCGTAAATGGAAATCTAGTATAAACTACGCGCGAAGATTTGAATTGTAAATGAAGTTAGTAGGGCTGACATAAATGTAGATTAAAGGTTTCATTGAAAAAAGATGATTATCTTTTCTCAGGACGTGATGGGTTATCGCTGGGAATATTTCAGATGCCTTTCAGGACGCCCTTCGCAGTCTAAGACATGTACCAAGTACCCATGGAAGATCAACCGATCTCAAGACGGAAAGTTGTGCTCCGGCACGTTGGGCAGACTCGACTCTGGTGCATCGAACGACCTCGAGTACTTAGCAATGCGCGTCGTGAAAATATGCTGGCTGGTTCTCAAGTAACTCCAGTACTTCTCGCACCCCGATCGACCCCCATAAATCACGAGGGATCGACTGTAGCCAGGTAAAAAGTCCATTAGCCACCTCTGGCAGCGTTTATTCTCAGGATCAGGTTGACCCTGGTTGTACCGATTGATCTAGCGACAGCATCCGTCTCGCCATTACAGGTCAGTCACCGAATGAAGTTGCCTAGACAGATCAATGAGATTGATTCAACTAGAGTTTTTACAATGAACTACGTACACACTTAGCCATGTTCAATTACCTCGCTAAAAATAATCAGATGAAAGAAGTTTCACCAGAAGCCACTTTGGTATCCTGTTACGTCAAAATCGAACTTGCCCAGGGCAAGGTCAGCAGGCTTCCGGCAAAAGTTGATCCGCAAGGAAACTGTCGCTCGTAAATTAACATGGTGGCCCACGTAGCAGGTTTGAGACCGAATCGAGTCGGTCGTTGAGGATCTGCTCTGATTTCACGTCACCACGCCCGTGAATGTCCCTGGCATTGAATCGGATCCAGTGAACGTATTCGGTTGTCCTTCGACGGGTTGTCCTTAGGTTCCTGGTTCGTGATATTCTACCGACACATGGAAATTGCCTTGTGATTGTGTGGGATAGTATATAAGTCAAAAGCAGATTGGAAACAGCGTGTAGTACTGCTTGAACAGTCCTTAGTAAGTAAGGAGGTTAGCAGAAAAGTGTTGCAAGATGCAGGCTTTGGTGAGTATTTTACACTCTTGTTAGGCCCATGGTAAATAGGTTTGGAAAAAAAAAAATGTTTGATCGGAAGTGGTTCACCGATACGAAGGACCGGTCGGGTACGCCAATCCTCGTTCCGCGAAGCGCAACTCATCTTTTTTCTTTCTTTTACTCTCTTACTTTCTTTCTCTTTTCTTTTTTATTCGACGAAACGAAAGGGAAGGGCTCGAACGAGAATACGCTTTCATGATCCACACCGAATTGAGCTTCCTTGTACACTTCTTATGCTCCCGACTTTTGTGAATTGAAGATTTGAATTAGACTACTGAATACGATATTTTTTTTCACTATTGCATAAAGATATTAGAATTGTTTTTTGGTTTGTTAATTATTTATATATATACTTAGGAAAATCAATGTCAAAGTTATGATGCATTACTTGACTGCATCAAGGGTCAATGCAGATTGATATTTTTTGTTCCGCTTTTTATTGAGGAAAACCCGTATAAGGCAACGTAAAGAAACGATATTGGCTGTTACCGGGTTTATAGTTCTTATTGGCTCGTAAAGAGAGCGGAATTGGAATCTTGTGCAACTATAAATTCAGTTCGAGATCCTCTGAGATTTTATGACGTCATAGATATCAACTATACGATTGAACAAATGATTCGCGTGTTAGTATGATATATATATATAATGTAAAATATATTGCTATATAAAAATAAATAAAATCCTTTGAAATTTCAGGTTCTTTTCGCATCCATCATAGCCGTAACGTCGGCCGGAGTAGTATCTCTAGTTCCCGTGAGCTATGTAGCCGAGGAAGTTCCGGTTACTAACCTGGTGCAAAACACGCATGAAGGATCATACGGCTACAGTTATGCCGGAGGTCCATCCGCTAAGGAAGAAGTTAAGGGAGTCGACGGCGCCGTCCGTGGTGCCTACAGCTACATCGACGCCAACGGAATCGTTCAATCAGCTCAGTACATAGCTGACGACGCAGGCTTCCGCATAGCCGCTACAAACGTGCCAACCGACGCTCAGGTCGGCGTCAACGTGCCCTACGAGACCCCTGAAGTGCAAGCCGCCAAAGCCGCTCACTTTGCTGAACACGCCAAAGCGATCGCCGCCTTGGGACGCAAGAAACGCAGCCTCTCTTACGCAGCCTTCCCTACTGCTGTCTCCAATCAGTATCACAACCAGGAACACGAATCTATCAAGATCGAGACTCCTGTCTACCAGCAATACGCTGCCCAAGTACCGCTTACCTATGCCGCTGAGTCTTACGTTCCGGTAGCACCAGCTACGTACGCTGTGTCCTCGGTACCTACTTCCGTCTCGCACCAGAGCCGTCTTCAGGTACACAACAGTCAGAACGTTGAGATTTCTGCTCCTGTGGCTGTGCATGCTGAACCAGTCGCTGTTCATGCCGAACCAGTTGCTGTCGAGGCAGTTCGTGCTGCTCCAGTTGCCGTGCATGCTGCACCGGTTGCTGTATCTTCCCTGCCTACTGCAGTTTCCAGTCAGAGACGCTTCCAGGTTCACAATAGCAATAGAATCGAAGTTCACTCTCCAATTTATTCCGGCGTCCATGTTCAGCCGGCTGCTGCAGCTTTTCCCGAGGCTCCCGTGGCTGTGGAAAGTCCAGTAGAACTTGACTCGGTTGCTGTTGAGGCTGTCAGAACTGCTCCGGTCCAGGTCGCTGCTCCCGTAGCAGTGTCTTCTGTACCTACTGCAGTTTCCAGCCAGAGCAGGAGCCAGGTTCACAGCAGTACCAAGGTCGAAGTTCAAGCTCCTACTGCTTACGTTCAAGCCCCTGTCGTCGACTCTTACGGATACGAAGTGCAAAACGAGATCGTCGACGCACCTTCTGCTTATGCTGCTTCAGTGGCTGTTCATGCTGCTCCTGTTCATGCCGTACATGCAGTACCCACTGCTGTGTCTTCTCAGTCTCGCAGTCAAGTCCACTCCAGTCAGAAGGTCGAGGTTGCTGCTCCTGTCTACGCGTCTGAACATCACGTCGGTCTTCACTACGCCCCTCAACTTCCTCTGGACACTCCTGAGGTCGCTGCTGCCAAGCAAGCTCATGCTGAAGCTTATGCTGCTGAGTTGGTCAAACATCAGGGTTGGTAAGAACTTCTCAGCCGGATTAGGACATATTCATCTGGCTCCATTTCTTCATCGAGAGACTGACTGATCATAGGACCCATAGGATCCATTAAACCGGTTCTAAATGATTTTAATTATGACGAATGTACATAAGAACCTGCTCCACTTTGCACCACTGCGAGAGTTCCGCGAGAGAGTAAATAATCGAAATTCTCTTGCGGTAGCTTGCTACCCTAAAAAAACAATTTTCAAATTCCTCTTCTCGAGTTATTATGCATTTCGAAAATATTGTGGTCTTCATGTTGCGTCATGTCACGATCACTAACTTATTTGTAAATTGTAAAAAAAAAAACAGTAATAAATTCCTACGTATAATTAATTTACGCAGTATTATTTCATCCGAATCTAAAAACCAACAACTCTACCACCAAGTTTCCATAACTTTCATATATGACAATGCAATTCCATGAGTCATAAGTTACGCGTATATTGCATGCTATTACCAGAGTATTATGGAAATAACAACCTGAAACCCACACCTTAATTCTCAACAAAGTTCTCAACAATTCCGCTACCGATCGACAGGCACATTTTAAATTGTCCCATCAACACAGAACACATATCACAATAATCCAGAAGTTTTAAGTTCACACAGTCGTAAAACCAGATTCCATCTCTATCCGAAAATCCCACGTACTTCCATATCTGTTACCGACAGTATCCAGAATCTTCGAAGTGTTAAGTGATCGCCATAAAGGAGTCAGCATGTAACATACATCCAAAGGGGATGAGCCAATGAACCTGAGCTAAGATTAGCCAGCATAGAAACCACCGTACTATCCTAATACGTCGTTATACGTATGTTCGCCGTGAAACGTATGGCAGAGTCTCTCCTATATAACATATGATAGCGCGTATAGACACATACGATACGCATACTTAAAATACAGCCACACTAGTACGTACCAATACGCGAATAAACCACTGGCTTGCACTCTTGTTCCAGCGAAACTTGTTCCCGTTTTTATAAAGGGATGCGCGCTCTGCGTGGGCGTAACAGATGGCTGGCAGAGAGACGCTCGGAATCTAACGCGAAAGGGCCGATAGATAGTCGAGGGATTGGCCATTGGCGAGGCACATAAGAGAGTCGTTGAGTCACGCACTTACTTACGTCTCTTAGAAGCTGCATCTCTTGCTTTGCGGAAATATCCAGTATCCGTCCGTAATGATATCTTTTGAGAGTTCTCTCGATAAATTCCGTATAAACGTGCGGGAAGGAATGCGGCTATGATAGCGACTAAAAAGAGGTTATGTTTTGTATGGCACAGGATTTCGTACGTTCAGGTATGTACTTATCTAATGCATTTAGATTCAGTAGAGTATGTATGTTCCCTTGAGATATTTATACTTACCCGAAGAATAAGGGCTATTGTTCAAGCCTCGTTTTCATAAATTTGTCCACGGACAAAGTCGATCGACGAACCGGCCCATCGATCTGTATTCAATGTCACGCGGCGTCTCGGTCCCATCAAAACTGTTCCCTGTCCGGTGTTTCTCGCTGCGACGTCGGCGGTCTTGCCAACGTCCAGTATGCGTACCTACGTCCAAACGCAAGAAATATACATAACCTTAAAAGGGCTCAAGCACGACACTGTTCTCCCGCGATCCGATCCTTTAGACATCTGCGACATGCCTACGCGACTCTTGACTCTTGGGCGACATGTGAACCTGCATTTTTCGTTGCCCTGTAAGTTCCTAGATGGCATTGACAAATTGTCGATTTTAATATTATACATTGTAACTATTTGCGCGCTCGGTTATGGCGTATAAGTGATATTGTGGAATTTATATTATGTCATGCTTATACACAGGATCTCTTTTGAAGAGTAACTGTTTGGAAGCTTGTTATATGAACACGTGGGTGACTTTAACGAGCATGTATGCGTCAATAAATAGAAATTGGCATAGAACCACCCATGATTAGTTTGATATACAGTGTCTGTAATGGTCTTGAATGAAACCCCTCTGAATGCCAGGAGCATATTAGTGCCTGTAGCTAATGCATTGAGACTTGTCAAAAGGTGCTGAAGTTAACATAATATCAAAGAGGAAAAATATATAAAAGAAAAAAATATTCACCAATACGACACAGGTCGTTTACAATCATTAATCAAGAAATGTTTTCTGAACGCACAGCGAGGAGTATAATTAGAAAACGAAAAAGAGTCAAGAGTAATTATTTTTTTTTGATGCACGAGATGGACGGCTTCACCAAATAAAATTAACTTTATAAAAACGCAGGGAACTAACCATTGGCCATAGACATCCATAGCCGTGAAAAGGACGTAGCGTGGTAGTAGTGGCATAGAAAAACGGAATAATCTAGAGAGACGTGAAGAAAGAATAGTGACAGGGGTGTATGAAGCCTACAAGTATATAAAGGGAAGTGAAGAGAGAAAGAGAGATGCTCTTAAAATAAAGACTGGATACCTAACGGTAGCACAGAAAGATACGCCGAACCGTGAACCCGACCACCAACCATTCATAGAGTTCTATTACGTAAGCGGCAAATGCTTGCGGGTACATAGTACCTAGTATACCTAGCCATGTATATACTTAAAGTTCTTAGCCGCTGGTCGCTCCATGTAAACTGCGACGCTTCGAGACTAAACTTCTTGACGCCCTGTATCCACTCTGCTTCGCGAAGCGTGTCCAGAAAACAAACTGGACCCCGACATTTTCGAGGTTAATGTCTCCTTCAAAGAATCGCCGGCAAGATCGTGTCGCTCTCGTGGATACACATCACTGGATAGAATCATCGACCCGACTAATCTTCATTTATTTAATGCAGTGTTCGTCATGCTCATTATTACTCGTCTTTTTTACTCGCATATGATTTTTTATATTTTAAACCTTTTTTTTAATACTGTTATTCTAGGTTAGATTTTCTATTGGCACACGTATATTGTCATGGATTTTTATAATTGACGTCCCAGAGTTTTCATCACTGGGAAATCCTTTAGTGCCAATGCCAAAACCAACGCGTTACTTCCCACACGTGCATTGTTCAAGAGATAATATACAGTGGTGAATAATTCTTCAGGAACGTTAAAATACTTAGATATTACTTGATCCAAGGGACGATATTAAGGTGGAATAACATAACCTGGAATAGTCTGTCTTACGTAGGACGGAATTACCTGGCGTCAATTTTGTAGCCGAATCTACGAACTTTGATGGACTCTATCATCATGATCTGCTGAGAAATGAAATTTCGTAATAGACGATCACACGTTTGCTTCGGCTCAGCCATAGAGCATTAGACTTTGAAGTAACTAGGTGTGAAAGATTTATATTTAATATCTGCTCCATGATGTTTTCTAATGGGGCATTTGCATCGGTATGCGCGATACCGTTGCTCTATTGCATTATTCTCGCGACTAAGCGACATGACCCTGGCTTTACGATTAGAAGCGTGGCCTAATGATACATTGTATATATTTTTTGCCTTGCTATTTCGAACGAGTGATATCTTATCAGTTTTGAAAAAAATTATAAACTAATTTTACAACCAATCTTTTTTCGCATATCTTTTTTCTTTGGCACCCGCGTATATACGATGTGTAATACTCGGGCGGTTTGATGGGCGATGCGAAAAATATGAGAATATCGGCAGCTTATGCACAAACCAATAAATATTGATTTATCGTCCTGGAAATCGATCTCGGGGTGATTTGTGCTCGTGGGGCCAGCACAGAGGGACCCTGTAGGGCCCACTCTGGATTAGTAGAGGGGATCGTGCAGGCAGACCCACGGATCCTATATAAGAGGATGCAACTGCGACCTCACACTCGTATCTCCGTTACTTGCTGCTTACTGAGATTATCTGACAAAAAAAAGTTTCTCACAGGCTACGCCTCATATTATCATTGTACAAGTTTGTTAATTAAGAAATCGGGGCATCGCCGAAAATTTCGTAACATTTGTTTACAAAAAAGAACTGTCACCATGATAACTGTAAGTAGAATGATAGGTTTTTAAAGATATTTTTTATGAATGTTATATATTGATTACCACTTAATAAACATATTAATGCTGATTCTTTTGCGTTGCGCGTTTACGACTTTAACATAATAACATTTTTTATACGATCAACTTAAATGATGCTTAAGGGATCATCACTGTGTTAAATTTTCAAAAAATCGATTTTTTTTTTTTTCATTATCTGATAGTATACACGGTTATAAACATTCTGTCCAATTTTTATGTCGAAATTTGAATTATTTCGGTCGCTACAGCCTTTCTTAGAAACAGGGATTGGACGGTCAGACCTGGCGCACTCCGATCTTTAAATGCGTTTTTCACGGAATGGTGTTTTTCAAAACGGTGGCCACTCTCAAAGGAAGAATTTTCAAGCTATCCATGTGAAATTTTAACAGAACATTCTTCACGTCATTTCTTATGTTGGCATGGAAGCTTTTTTTTTTTGAAAACTTCCTATTTTGTTTTACGAAAAACTGTCGAAAAAAAGGCTAAATTTTATACGTCTTGTTCAAATTGATGGCACTTTTTCAAATTTCACTAACAACAAAAAAGCCTCCATAGGAGCAGAGCGGCTTTCCTATAGATTTATAAACGATTTGAAAATTTTGATTCAGGTAAAATTTGCGCCCGCAATCCTGGCCGCCATGGGACACCATTTTTTTTCATTCAATTTTCCACAAATAAGAACAACGTTGAACAATACATAAAGAAATTTTTAAAAAATCATTTTGTATACTTCATAGATGCTTCGATTTGTAAAAAAAAAAAATTAGACCGATTACCTTATTCCATCCACCTAAAAAAAAATTGCGAAAATCGGCTGTTTTTTGGGCGATCACACTGTGATGATCCCTTAAGTAAGATGACCAAAATTTAGTACAAATTATTCATTATAGATGAAGTCAGAGTAAGCTGATATTTATTAATTTATTCTTTGACTTGTGTAAAATTATTTATTCGCGCAATAAAAACTACTTTAATGTGTCGTGCAACCGTCGTGCTATTTGAAAACTGATAGTGACATAATTTATTTTAAGAAGGGGAAATATTTTGTAGAGCTAGTAAGGAGTGTTGATATGGTTTAGTAACGGTTATACAGCTCGTTAAAAGATATGAAGTATATCAGCATCGACACGCGAAACAAGTATTGATGCTGATTATAAAAATGATTATTGTTACTTCTATTAAGTGAATGGATTAAAATTACCTTAATTGTATTATCAATTTACCATTTAACTGTCAGCAGATCATTAATTATAAAGAATGTAATGCTAACGTTCTGATAACTTTATCAGTGTGTACGAATAGCATGAGAGTTTATTAATCAACGTGTGCTTCATGTGATTTTTTTTCAAGGCGATATTCCTTTGCACCATTTTTGGATCTTCCCTGGCTACACCTTTGACTACAGTCTGGCTGAGTCCCATATCACCAGTTGCCCCTTTGACCCATCAGTATCAATCACAAGATGGTTCAGGTGCCTATCATTATGCATATACTGGACCGCATCATGCTAAAACGGAAACGAGTCTAAATGGAGTGACCCAAGGTGGTAAGTAAAAATTTTGAAAAGTAAATAAAAAATAAATGTTAAAAATGTATAAAATTTTCAATAGGTTATTCGTACATCGACGCTAATGGGATTCTGCAAACAGTAGCGTACACTGCCGACGCTCAAAATGGTTTTCGTGTAAGTGCCAGCAATCTTCCCCAGCAGCCAAGAGAAGATCAGAATCCAGTGTCCGATACACCGGAGGTGGCGGCTGCGAAGAAGGATCACCTAGAGGAATTCAAGAGAGTCGAATTAGAGATCAATCAAAATCCAACTTCTTGGCAAGATCGCAGAGTCTTGCCATATAAGAACGATCAGCCGATCCTGAGCTTCTCCAACGTGGTCCAGCAGGAAGCTGACAACCATCTGGACTCCCAGAAAAGCCAGACGCAACAGGAACTCCAGAATCCATTTTTATTGACTAAGGCGGAAGCTGAAAAGATTGACATCCCTAAACCGGATCCTAGCCTCTTTACGTACAGCCAGTCTGGAATCTTCCAGAAGGATGCTCAGAAGCTTCATATCGGTCAAGTCCCGGTCTCCAACATAGCATCACTTCCGGTTCATCGACCAATTGCTCTACCAAGTTCCTACGTCTTACCGATTCTACCATACAGATTGTTGCATAGCTCGCTTCATCATACACAAGACTCTTTGGGACAGTACGATTACAGTTACACTGGTGACTCCAGTGCCAAAACTGAATCTAGGTCACTAGATGGCACCACTAGAGGCGCTTATAGCTATATCGATGCTAATGGCCTCTTACAGCAAGTTCATTACATAGCTGATCATAATGGCTTCAGAGTGGCGGCTACAAATTTGCCGGAGGCTTAGTAAACTTTTACCCTACAATATAAAATAAACGGAGCGCCATATTTATCGCCATCATTCTGGCCCCGCAGTCTATTTTTTTTTTTTTCATTCGCACGTTTCCATTGAATATTCAAGAATAAGTTGATTTTTCATTGCTCATTCGTTTTCTTCAATTGTCATTAGCTGAAAAGTTTCCATTAGTACATATTACAATACTGCTACGCATTTTGCTCGATACTAGAAGATTTTGATAACTGCTATAAGTTATCACATAGAATAGTAATAAGTTGGATCATCGTATTCTTATTGGTGTCGGGTAATCCTTGAATGCTTTTCGAGTTCGCTCAATGTAATACCTATTGATAATTTTGATGAGCCCACTTGACTCGTATTCATAAGTTCGTGATGATACTGATGAGTAATAACCTGAGAAACTTTTTTTGACCATGTATTCTTGAGTAATATGTACTAAAATAAATTATTATCTTATTTAAAAAAAAGCAGATTTGTTTTATCATGCCATTTTTCAGAATGAAAAGGGCTGATTAACCACGATTAAGCGTCATTTTTTTTTTTTTAAACATTATCAAATGTTTCGTTACAACAAAGGTGAAAGGTCATCTGTTCCAACGCGAATGTTCTTTCTGGGGTGTACGTTCACTGTCTTGAGCTTAAGTGAAAATGAATACAATCAGTTGATTTTTAATCAGTTGTTATTTAATCAATGTTAAATACTTCAGAGCGAGGCGTAGTCATTGTCTCCGACTTCCTGTCAAGACCTTGAGAGATAGATTGTAAAATTGAACTTTCCCAAACTTGGACTGTCGAAGGGGATGAACTCCAATTCCACCCTGAGTGGGTTTATAAAGTTTTGCACCCTTCTAATAACATACATAAAACGCCTAACACTGCAAGTCGAATACTACACATCAATAGCATCTACGATTTTATAAATTTATTTTTAGCAATATTTGCATCATGCGTGTAGAATCATCATACTGTTACTAAATTCTTCAAGTCACCTATCCCTTATTAATTAAACCGGCACGTCACACCGCATCATACCTTGAACACTAGTACATGCGTCAACCTCATAGTCTATATTTGCTACTAAAGATTGCTATGAAAAATTTTATTACATAAAAAATAAAATTCTCCCAAATAAAACTCTCTTGATTTCGCAAAAATACAGTTTAATGTTTCATTATATCCGTCTGTACTTGTAATCACTCTTAATTACCAAAACAACATTTGAAAATTCATATTGATTAATCAGCATCAGAAATTCGGAGGCATCGTGTAATGCAGATTTAACGACTTGAGATATATCGCTGCGAAGACACGATAACCGATTATCAGAATGCTAATAAATCTTCAGAAACGAAATTTTGTCGTTTGCACAACCTAAAATATATTTCAGCACGTGGTCAATTTTTTATGTTATTTTGTTTTGATGTACGAACTTCCGCGTGAAATTAAACGCGAAATGGATCCTTATACGTTTCCATTTACTCTGGTCACATATTTACGTCCCAGCATTATGCTCTATCTGCATATATTGCGTCTATATACTCGTACTATTTACTATTATCTGCGTGTGGACGTATTGTCGATACCTATCGAGTACACAACTACCTAGCTATACCAACATACATTTATCTATATGATGACTACCAGTGGTTGAGTGGCGTGTTTCCGCTTTAGTAGCCAATTCCACGATCGATCTTGCAATGCGGTAATAAAATGGCTGAAAAGGTACCCTGGTAAAACCAGCCCTTTCAAAGGCGACCATACTTCATGAGAATGAACGTTAAATTTATAGTTCATTGGATTTGTAGGGAACGCAGCTTTGTCAAGGATCTACCCAATTGTTTATGTACATGGTATATTATATAAAATAATTTTTTTATCATTTTTATTATCGGTCTTCGATTATTGTTGTACCTACTCTAGTGGGACGTGTAAAGACATTGTACTCGCCTTTCAATTTCTTTATATCTACTATGTGAGCAAGTTATAATAATTAGATATTTTGTGTCATTTTAATAGGGTTCGCTTATATGTTCCTTGTGCAATGTATAACGATAACAATTGACCGTTTAATTAATCTTCGGCACTGACGACATACGGAGTGACGTATGGAACTTAAAGTAACTCAAAGCATGGTATCTTTTGGGGGCTGGTCATTTGCAATGAAATATGCGAATGCATATATGCTGCAATCGTAAACGTGATACAAAATAAAATTAGCCGAGTCCAAAGGTATGTCGATTTTTTTTTTCTTATCTGCGCAATGATGTTTCAATCGGGGCAATGAATTTCGAAAATTAAATTATTTTGATTGTGTACATTGTATGTTTTTACTATGATAACATGCTATGCTATGTTTACAGTATGATAGTATATTTATCTTTAAAATTTCTAGAATTCGCGATGTATATTATGCCGTGGGTACTATACAGTATAATTATTCAAGTTATTAAAAAACTATAAATATGTCTTATAAATATATAAAAATTTATCTTACAATGCTGTTATTTGTTGCCAGTTGAAACTTTTTTTTTTTCTTGAATGGAACTTTTCAATAATTCTTGTTATATTTTTAACGCGGCTGATTTTGGTATTGATGCGATACAAAGGGAAAGTGTAAACTCGAAACGCAGAATCGTCTAGACATAAAAATATGCAGATTTAATTTACCGTACATGAAGAAAAATAACGGCGATAGATAATTACATATAAATAAAGACAAGTGTATATATCACAATGAAAAGTCATCAAATAATTAGTGAACTCGCTTCATTTCTTGGATCAGTTAAAAATTGTATTATAGAAAAAAAGTTATAGGCCGATTAATCGAAAATTGAAATTCTTTATCAAAAAAGAAAGTGTTGGAAAAATTTACAATTTTTTACATCTACTGGAGATTACGTGGAAAAATTTGACAATTTTACGGTACTATCGCAATAATCGTTGTGCAGGGGTCGGGCCCACGGGTCATAGCGCAATTATGATAACTATTGATAAGGTCCCGATAAGGGGTCATCTCGTATATAAGACCGTGCTCCACGAACTCTAAGGGACACTCTGGCGAACTCTTTAATCGTTAAGTCAAGAAGTTCCGAGTGGAGCAAAGTTCTCTTAGCGCGTCAAATTAGACTTGCCCATCCATCTCTATCCATTAGAGTTTCTACTATTAAAGTTTATTTAGGAATACACGTGTCCGTGCAGATCGCACCGTTTGAAATGTCTTTGCCGATTTTCAAGGAAAATGAGAGGTTCAACCAGCAGGGTCGAGTAGTTCCGCAATATCTTGCGGTAGTACTAGGTAAGTTTTCCATTGTATTTTACAAGGTCGACGGAATGCTCTTTTGGCACGAATGGATCATTCTTCTTATATCCAATTGGGTTCCAAGGACAATTGCACTTAGATCAAAAAAAAAAAATATAATTAAAAAAATCCGTGTTCATTTTGATAATCCCTTTCTTTGCACGTATCCACGTAGCAAATTAACTTTTTACAACCAAGGAAAAATCTTATCTTCGTTGTGCTTTTCCTTAATTTTTTAGCCACTATGTCGGCCTTGTCGGGTGGAACGTATTTGGGATGGACGTCGCCAGCTTTACCGCTACTGAGAGAGGATGATCATTTGGATATAAATGATGGAGTTGGTTCGTGGATTGGTTCTTTGACACCTTTGGGTGCTCTGATCGGTGCACTTCCGGCAGGATACTTGGCCGATAAAGTAGGACGCAAAAGAGCCATTTTGATTATCACACTGCCTCTTCTATTCTGTTGGTACCTCGTTGGCTTTACCCACAATCTCGTATGGTACGTATCGTTGAAGGGTTGACAACTTGAGGCATTTGCGCTGCTTGGATACAATTTCGAAAATGACGAATCACGTGAGAATGACCGATCATCGTTTCACAGGATTCTTTTAGGACGAGCCTTGGCTGGCACATCAATCGGTGCGTCCTCCGTCACTGTTCCTATGTACGTTTATGAGATTTCTGAAGCCAACATCAGAGGAAAACTTGGTACATTTTTCCAATTACAATTGACAATTGGTATTCTATTCGTCTACTTAACTGGTAAGCAATTGGTACCATTTAATATTCTCCTTATATCGTACATTGACAATTTCCAATTTATTAATCAATAATTATTTACTTATGCGGTTCAGGTTTTACTCAAAATTATGCATACATTGCATTAATATGTGCATTGATTCCTGCACTGGTCCTAATCACATTACCGTTCATGCCTGAATCACCGGTATGGCTGATGAATCAAAATCGTAGAGAGGATGCAAAAGCAGCGTTGCAATATTTTCGAGGAAAACGATATTCAGTGGAGAAAGAGTTGTCTGAGCTGCAACTGATTAAAGATAGCCAGGAAGATGCTGCGAGTATTATGGATTTGAAGAATCATGTAAAGGCGATGATAATAGCCCTAGGTAAAACAAAATTGACATTAATTGTATAAAAAAAAAGATATCGAATGAGAATAAGAATAAATGAAAGAATTATTTTTGTTTACTTAGGACTTTCGATTTTTCAACAATTATCCGGCATCAACGCAGTGATCTTTTATAGCCAAACCATCTTCGCGGCTGCTGAAACGAATATCAGCTCAATTCTGTGTTCAGTTATCATAGGAATTGTGCAGGTCGTAGCTACGTGTGGATCATCATTCTTTATTGATCATGCTGGAAGAAAAGTCCTTCTTCTGCTGAGCTCGACCGTAATGGCCGCATGTTTGTTCGTCTTGAGCGCATATTTCCATTTCCAGGTAAACTAAAAATTTAGATACATGATAATAATGTGACTAAAATAATTTTAGAAATTTCTAATTAATATTTATTGCTTTTATTTTTGTCGCAACAGACCGTTCTGTCCAGTTTATTCTGGGTGCCACTGGTATCACTGACTGTCTTAGTCATAGTCTTCAGTCTTGGGTTTGGACCGATACCTTGGTTGATTGTCGGTGAATTATTTCCCAGCAACGTAAAGGGAACTGCCGGTTCCGTAGCAGCAGCAACAAATTGGTCCTTAGCATTTATGGTGACAAAATTCTTCCCAACTATGATGAACAACGTGGGAATCGCTGGTTCCTTTGTTATCTTCGCTTTCGTATGCGTTGCTGGCACAATCTTCATCAGCACAGTCGTTCCCGAAACCAAAGGGAAATCCTTAGAAGAGGTTCAGAATGAATTATATGGAATAAGGGAGGAGCCTATAACGCAAGTAAAGATTCAGTCATAAAAATATAGAACGAGAACTGTGAAAATATCATATAACATTGACTCGTTCGATCGAGTGTCTCGTAACCATAAGACTGTTCCAAGAACTTGAGGAAGAATCGATTTAACTGCATTCGTATATTGCGTTCGAAAATCGAATATAATGATATTATGCGTTAAAAAGGTCTATACTTACCTGTAATCAAGTATTTCGTTTATACTGCGAATTCATTTTGTCTAGATACATTCTACAGGTTGTTAGTATAAGGATAATTTATTTATATATACTTAACCGCATTTTTTTAAGGACACGCAGTTTTTACAGGCAGGTCGAAAGGGGTTATCTCTTATTAGGGTGGTTAATTCATGAAGAATTTCAACAAGTATCTACGTTAGGTGCCTCTTTTGGGTTTGACTTTTGTATTTTTTTTTGTTCTATTAGTTCTATAAGATTAATTTATTCATGAGAAAATTTCGTTATAGTTATATTATAATGTGTGGATGTAACCGAGGGCGATATTGCGAATTAATATTTTTAAATAATAAACTGGAATTGTGAAAATTAATTCGTTTTCTTATTTTACAAAATTCACTCTCGATAATGGATTTTAATGAAATAAGAAATGTCAAAAGTCTTAACCTTGGAGTGGCATTAAATTGAAATCTATTTCATGCCACGTTATTCATCAGGCATATTAATTTGACTGCTAACGTACCTTTACTCTCTCTTAAAATATATTAATATCGTACACGAAGACATTTAATTCCGTGAAATGTTTCGTATCGTGACTCTTAATTTTCGTAAAAATTTATATATATAAATTTGTCAATTAGGGAAAAATAAAAGTGCCTGGAACGTTTTACGTGTTTCTCATAACCGCAATGGATTAGACTCCATTAGCGATATCAAACTTTACATCCCTTCTTTACATTAAATTGCTTTAAATTATAAAGTCAAAGTGTCTGACATTTTGAAGTTATCACTCATATCTTAGACATGCGAACAAAAATTATTCATTTCCATGGAAAAACGAAACCATACTGTCATTGAAAATACATTGAGATACGTTATCAGTAATTTAATTCAAAAGATTATGTTAATTAAAGATTTTAATTATTTATATTACAAGACATTGAAATTTCTTCCAATCATCTTACCTTTCATCAGTATAATAACTGATACGCGGAATCGATTAAATGATTAATTTCAAACGGGTCAATATTCTAAATAAAATCTTTCAGACAGATTTAGTTATATGTATATGTGTATTTGTTTGATACCTTGCAATTTTCTATATGACATAATGCGTTTTGTTCATTCGCTTATAATTAATTAATTTGCATATACTGATGGACACCGACTAGAGTAACTTGTCAAGTATGGATTTGTATTGAATAGCGTAGCGTCGTAGTCGCGTCATTAGGAAGGACATTATGTTAGCTCCATTGTGTCAGTCTGGCCGGAGTATGCAGCCCAAAGGATATTAGGCAATCCTGAAGCCTTGAGAGGTCGCTGATAGGTACGAATGAACGCGGCTCACCAGCCCCATAGGGAGCCGCGTGCATTGAAATTACCTCAGGAGGGACCGAAGTTGATCTCGCAGGTTCTGAGATTGAAAGCCACGCGCTGATTATGAGCGCCAGGCCTGACTTGCTACAGTCATCTGGAGTCACTTTGTGAATGAGCGTTCAAATCTGATCCAGGATCAGGATCAGAATCCTCGATTGAGATCCCATGGTGAGGTATCCTAATTGTGTAGCTAGGACTACGTTCGTTTCTGTAAATAGAACATTGACTCTATGAAAATAAAACTGTATCACTTTCGATCGTTATATTTAAAAAGAAACATTCTCTTTGACTTCTCATACCTGCTGGCTAGTTGACTCCCGTCGCTTCCACGTCGTAACGCATTGGCACGACGCTTGCAGAAGCACTTGCATATTATTCTCTTAAAAGCAAACCGGAAGTCCTTGCTGAAGAGAGCGTAGATGCAAGGATTTATCGCGGAGTTGCAGTAGCCTAGCCAGAAGAGTACGCTGAAGACTGTTTTGTCGATGCAACCCGGACAGAAGGCGCGCACCAGGTACATCGTGAAGAATGGAAGCCAGCAGAGGATGAAACCTCCGACGATGATGCCCAGGGTCTTTGCTGCCTTTGTTTCCATGCGGAATCTCTTCACCTGGAAGAATCGGGGATCAAAGGGTTTCTTCGTTCAGGTTGTTGGGTTTACTATAGAGATAACCATACAATTAATGTCCGGCTAACCGGACAATTTATTTTTAAAGAACAGCAAGCGAATCCTCGTAAATTTTCATATTTTTTACTTGGCCTTCATCGTTCTCCATTTTATGTACAATTTTTTCGTTTATTTTATGAATAGTGTTTTTCTTTTTATCTTAACAATTTGTTATACGAGAGCTACTATGTGGGGGTAGAAAAGGTTGAAAGTTTGTCAAAGTACCTGAGCCTTTATGTTTCTTTTTCCCATTTTTGTTACTCTGGGTTTCTCGTCAGGACCTGAGGTCAATTCTCGAAGGGATACATCGTCCCCGGTGACCTGACTTTCGCAGCTACTTCGTCGACTTGGTCTTTTACTGCTGCCAATCCTGTTGATTCCACTAACCTGAAAAGAATTGATTGAAAGTTTATTATTTTTATATAATACAAATTTCAATTCGCAATACAATCCATAGTTACGCGCTCGGCGCACAACAAAATTCAGTAGTGCTCTAAACGAATACAGTATCACACTTTATATATATTTTCAAAAATAACAATTTATGTTACGGAGCACCCGATCTGCACTAGTACTTTTTCAAAGATTAAGATATTTATGAATCAATCAGTTCTATCACAAGTCAGTTATAAAATTTCTATATATAAATAAATATTTGATAATCATCATCCGATCGTCAACATGGGATTGGTTCATGTCACAAGGCTATTAAACAAAAATGAAGTATCCTTACATAAAACAATAACGAGATTGGGAATAGGCAGTAAATTCAGTTAGCCAAGGAAATCACGTGATTTGAAAGTATAATTTATCCGCGAATACCACTCGAAAATTTGTTTAAATAAACCAGAGCATGGATGCTGTAAACTGTTCGTATTCGTAAACGAAAAGAAATGTAGAGAAAAACATTTAAAAAATTCATGCAATGAAATTGACGTACCTTCAGATGAGTGTTTCTGGAAACTGGACATAACTGACTCTGGGTCTGTCCATTACTGTAATGTACCGAAATCTGGGAGCATTTTGACGGTGTGCGCTCTAGAGTATTACACTTTGTATTGAGTGTCTCGGTGCTGGGATAAGAAACGGAAATTTTTATTTTTTCCCTTCTGACCGAGCTACGACTCGATTCAGGACTTCGTGGACTTCCGTTATTGCTGCCATTGTGAACACTTCCACGTCCTCTGTGGATCCTTAAGGTAAGACGCTGCTCGTCGAATCTGATACGTGAAAGAAATAAAAGATAATGTGTTTCCAGGATTCTATAGAGATACACAATTTTTTAATAAATTTCTTTTCTCTTTCAGTCTCTCACCTAGATCCGAGCACTTTTGAGCCTTTGGTGGTTCGAAAACCTTGATTGATGGCCTTGGTGGTGGAAACGGCTGCATTGTAGATCCTCCAATAGAAGAAAAGCATAACCAGCATCGGTATGTAAAAAGAACCCAGAGCGCTGTAAAATGTTATAAATTAATAACACCGATATCCTTCGTTTGGTATCATCATTATTAAGGCGGACTAAAGTTCTATACAGGATTTCAAAGATATATTCCCTCAGCAATGTAAATTCACGTTATTTACATTTTCTCGAATTTGTGTCACGTCGATTATTCAAGTGGCTCGTATTTACTCGCAAAGAAACTTGTAAGACAAAGAACGATACAGAGTTTCACAATGGAGCGGAGGCTATCCTAGCTTAGCGCTTTTAAGTCTTTGCGCCTCTCTTAACAGAACGATAAGGTCCTTCCACAATTCCTACAAGCTTTCTACAACGTATAATCAGACCAGCGTCACCTGCCAACTGGCGTCATACGAATGAATAATTTTTTATCGATTATCCAAGTGGAAGAAAAAAAAATATATTTTACTTGATTGAAATAAGAAACGAGATTAAGTTAAATCAGATAACCATTCCAATCAATGATTAATTCCTTAAAAATACGTAATGTGACAACGCCATAACTCAATGAATCATATTTCTAAAAAAATTAACGTTAGCCAAGATTACGTCGTGCCCATCGGTCGGAAGTTAATGAGAAGCGGTAATTCCGTTGCTTGGTTACGTTTACATGATAAAAAGATAAGACAAAAAATACATTAAAATTGTTCGAAAAAGCACAACAGACAAATAACAAAAAAAAAACAGCTGAAATATTATTCACGTGCCTTTTATAAATTTATTAAATCACAGCTTTTTATTAACGTCAACAGTTTTTGTGTCCTATGTGGCTTCAAGTGATTTCAAGGGATCACCTCAGTGATTTTCCAAGGTTTAAACGTGCCCCAAGGCATTCCGGTTATTTCCGGTTGAATCCCAGGGACCCTGTTACATTCGATAGATACTCTGTTCTGTTCCTATAACTGTAGATGTCAGATTTACGGTCAGGTCGATCTCACTGACCTGTAAACGACGTAACCTGCATCATTGGTCAATTCACATATCCAAGGACATGGTTTGACCGGTACGAAGATGCTGGTGGAATTGAATCTTCCACTCTGGGAAAAAGTTGTGTTGTGCGATGGGTGTGACTGAAAATAAAGAATTTTTGAGTTAGCCTATAAATATTTTCTATGGCATGGCAATAGTTTGGGTAAATGATCCCTCGATATACCTTCTTGTCCTTCCAGCCAACCAGGGGTGGGAAGCATATGACAAAACTTAACACCCAGACAGCGGCCACTAGTAACCTAGCCCTTTTTGGTGACATAATCTGAAATAAATAAATAGAGTCGTCTTAAATATATTTTATTAAATAATTAACTATTAAATATTCAAGAATGAATAAAATTTCTTAGAGTCAATAAATTGACTTTTACGATCATTCATCTTTCTTTTAGCTACCAGTCATTCAATCTCAATCACCATTCATTCCGGTATCTTCCACTGATAAACTTCATAGGATCATCTAAGTACACCAGATATCTCCAAGGGATGTTTTGACACCCCAATCAGTTAGATTAGAATTGTATGTACACTCTAAACAATTGAACGTTATAGCGTATATTGAAAATCAATTTAATACTATATAATTCAAATATATTATTTACCTGTGGATAAATAACTGGTCTGGTAACTGCTAAATATCTGTCAAGACTGATGGCGCAGAGATTCAGTATGGAGGCAGTGCACATCCAAACGTCAACAGCCAACCAGATGGAGCACCATAGGTCGCCAAAGATCCAAACCTTGTTCGTGGAAGGGCGAAGAAAAAAAAATAAAGTTTCTATGGAATGTTTGCCGAGTTTTCTCGAGCACTTTGGAAAATGTGATAAGAAAAGCAATTTAGACACGTGAGAATCCGAAAAGGAACCGTACGTGTCTCTCGCGTATCTACACGTACGTAACGCTAATGCAAACAAGAATAGTATTGTCAATTTTCGAAAAAAAATTACGCCACCCTCTCTTCCAACACCATCCAAAGCTTTTATCAATTTCCCAATAAGAAAAGCATGTTCGGAAATTAATTCCAAATATTATCCCTGCCACTTATCAGGCTGAAATATCAAATTTTAAGTATCTGAAAAATTTCATACTTTCATATATGCCATTAATTGTGTGAAATTAGGAATTCAATGTATTTCAGAAAAAATTGATAATTTCACTTATTAAATAATTATAATGATTTCCTACTGCTGCTATTGATTTACGAGTATGCGTTTGTGTATCGTGTATTACGTGTTAGGTTAGTTTGTATAGTATTCGAGTGCTACGCCGAGATCCGTTGTGTGGCATTATATGCACAGACAAGGAATTCCCACATTGTTCGCAGCTTTGAAAACCAGCCTTGCGAGCAGGGGAAACGTTTAAATCCTTTGAGCCTCTGATCTTCTAACAGAGAACAGAGTGCTTTAAGCTCGAAAACTCATTCGCCGTTATCCTACGTAAGTATCCAGGTTACCATTTCACGTGCACAGTGGTTACTAGACATAATAACGTACCAAGTAGTATTTATACCAGTATCCGGTTAGACTCGAAAAAATAGGGCTAGTATCCCCATATTGTCACCATAACACAAAGAGATAGAAATAAAGAATGAATATTCACGAGTATATAACATACATACAGTAAAGCCATATAGGAAGATACCTATACTAGACATAGGTGTACGCTGTATGTACATGGTATAGTACGAACCTCCCGAAAATTTGTAGCTACAAAATGCAAGCCAATGGGTGAAATCAACGAGTACATGGAAGTGAAAACGCGTAGGTATAAATCGTCAACCCTCAAAAACCATCTATATCCAACATCGTCAATATTTAAATCTTCATTGAACTCGAAGTATAATAATTTAACATTAGCCTGTATACCTGTATATATTCTTTATAGCAATGGACCTTTTTTGTCATATGCAAATATTTTCGCTAGTATATTATTTTGTACTTGGTTAAACTGACACGGAATCGCACGTGTAAATACGCGAGTGTCAGCGATGACGTTTGTTTACGGTGGTCACTAGGAAGATGAGATTTCTTGACAGTTCCTAAAACTGTGATTGCATTTTGACGATACATTTTTTTTTTCAAAATATTAAATTTTTATACAAGGTTTCATATTTTCGTGGATCATTTGTATCGTTCGGAGTGGGTGTGATTTTAGGTTATGTTTAAAGATTTTACCTTGAACACTTCCCAGGTGGCGCTGAAGGGTAGGACGGCCACGCCGACCATCAAGTCTGCTACAGCCAGGCTCACGATGAACATGTTGGTGACGTTTCTAAGTTTGGTGGTGTGGCAAACGGCGAGGATCACCAGGACGTTACCGAGGACCACCATGACGTTGACGATTGCGAGAACGACCAGGGTCACTACGATACCTGACCCTGACCACTCGACGCCCCCGTACAGCGCGTTACAGGCGGATACGTTGAGCTCACGCATCTTAGTCGATCTTCGCGACCGCCATTTTTGTTTAGTCGTCCAATAAGATCTCGTGGTTGTTTTTCGTACCGATTTAATTAGTTATACGAATATTGAAATTCACTGAATTTTATCGCTGATCTATAATGCTCACCAGCCCTCATCCCGCACTGATACGTAGAAGAAGAGCACGCCTGCGTGTATCGAACTTAACTTTTCTTCTTTGCCAAATTTACATGGGAAAAACCTTATTTTTAGTATAAGAACTTGCATGGGTTACTTCTTTTACGAGGAAAAATGATTTTACCTTATTCTTTGTTTTTTTTCCTCGATACTCCTCAGAGTTGATGGAATGAGTTTTCGATCACCGTTCTTGTTCGTGGAGAATGGATGTGTGTGTGAGAGAGAGAGAGAGAGAGAACAAAAAAGATATCGAGGAGACACGGCGATAAAAAAAGAACGTTGCCACTGTTGAAATAGGAAGAATTTATTAGGGTTTTGGGATAGGATTAATCTCGGTTTCTCTCATCCCCCAGGCTGTGACGTGCTCGGATTTATACATGCGTTTATCGAAAATTTATTTTCACGGATTTCCGTCACCTCGCTTTTTCTCTCTTTCTCCTTCACGTTGGTAGGCCTCCGGTTGGTTCGTTTGAAATTCCCGCGCGATTTTTTACTACAGTTTTTTCACAAATTTCAAACGACGAATCCGACGTCGGAACTCCTCGGTTACGAGGGTCCTTCAAATTTTTCTTTGAAAGTGAAAAATATTTTTAACAATCTGACAAAAACGCAATGCCACAAGATATGCGGATACGAGATGCGAAGATACGTCACGGCTCTCTTGCTTTTATATATTTTTTCTTTATATTTTTTTTTTTCACGTATCTCAAGTCAACGGCAACTTGAAAATGTTATGAGATATGTTTCTACTCTTGGACTTGTATTTTTGTTTTCCCAATATCCACCAGCAGAGTTTATTCGTTTATCAGACCACAATCAGGAAATACAAGCGATCTTATTTTCTTTGGTTAAAATTTCTCTTCTTTTTCTTTTTTGGTTATATCAACTCGAGCTTCTCAGTTAATTAGCAGTGTTCGCGTATGATAAAACGTGCCAACTATTTAATCGCGCATAATTTTCACTTCCTCCATTTTTACCACAACGATATTAAGTTAACGATAACTAATGACAATTAACTTCTGCCACTATTTGTATTTACAGCGCGTTTAATTAGTTTCCTGTTAGATTCGATTAGAGCTCGTAAATAAATGAGGTTTAATGACCGCGGATGCGCGGTGATTTCCCTTGCTCATTTATATCTCGAAACTTATAATTCTTTAACGTAAACGTTATCGACGTAAATATACTGTAATCAGCCTTCATATACATATAGATATATATATATATATACTCTTATAATTTTTCTTGTTGTTTAACGCGAGAACGACTTAACGATAATTTTACAATTAAAATCACAGCCAGCAAAAATAAAATGGCGACGGTCGCCCCAATCACATGGTCGGGTATATTAACGTTCGGACCTTGAAGAAAATCATCGTCGAACGCCGTGGCTTTAGCGTCTCTTAAATTTCCTTTTTTTTTTACTATCTCTTTCCCTATACGCTTTGATCTTGGTGTCAGCCTCCTTCGCTTCTGACTCCTTTTCCTTAATTTTTTTTTTTTTTTCTTCAATATGCTTTATCAGAGAAGCTAAATTATCTTCCGGTACTTTAAGCACTGTCTGTACCTTAAGAGACGGAAACGCAATTCCTTCTTGATGCGCTTCGCTCTCATCTTTCCTTTCCCCGATGTTCAGCCTCCTCTTAAGAAATTCTCTCGAAATTCGAGAAATGCATCTCAGCTTCGCGTCTTCCTGCACCACCTATTTCCATATCCGTGGCTTCCTCATGGCGACGTTCTACAATCAAAGGAATAGAAGGAATAATAATAATAATAATCAAATTGAAAAATCTTTTTCACGTACTACAGGAAGTAGAGGGTTTCCGTCGTAAACGCGCTCACGTACAGTCTCAAAGGAATTTTGCGATGGGATTCCGTAGAAAGTGAAGCATCTACGTGAAAGCTGACACGAAGAAAAAGAATTTGCAATAAAAAAAAAAGGGGATGAAAAAGTTTAAAAAAAAAAAGAAAAATGAGCAAGAGACTCGTGAAAAGAAAGTGGATATATCATTTACCCGCAGTGCTTCTCTTTATATATAGAAACTTCTATAACGTAAAAACAATCCCTTACGCTATTACACTACATTATTTACAAGGGCAATTTAGTGAAGGCTTGTCATACGTATATGCAGGTATACAGTTGTTATTTCTGTTAAAAATCATTCGTGCCCGACTGACTCATCGTTCCCCCCCTTCCCCCCCCCCCTTTATTTATGTCGCTCTTTTTCTTTCGCCCCTATTCCATTCAGGTCGACTCTTCTATTATACATGGGGATGTGCAGGCGAGAGTCTACGAAACGAACGGTCAGTGTACAATTTGCGGTCAGAAGATTTGCGGGCAACGCTGGGAGATGAATGTTTCAGTAGTACGCGACACACGTCTAGGCCCTGAAAAACTTTTGCCCGATGAGATCGATACACAACTCTCATACGTTCCGAAAATAGAGGAGAGTCTAAAGGGGGCTGGGGTGAAGACTAAAAAAAGTAGTACCAGATATATAGACATATAATTGCGAGTAAGATAATAAAAAAGCGAAAAGTTTACACCCCCCAACCGAGCTGCAGATAGTCTTCACGTGAAATTATCCAATTTCGAAAGCAATTCGTTCGTCTAACTCACACTGATAGGAGCAGTGAATTGCGTTACGTATCAATAACAAACAAAAAGTTGGATGCGTCGAGTCTACAGGGCATTGACCAGTCATTATTTTGTCCTATCTGTACAGGACCATATAGAAATGGTAGAATTTGACATACCTGGTGTATATGTATATATATCTTATATATTCACAGCACATAGGTATATATATAGTTATTGGATAATAATAAAAAATTTAGTCTCGTCTAGAACGTACAAAGCTTATTAATCATCACGTGGTAGAATTGATCGTTTAATTTAATTTTCCCGCGCGAAGCGTCCCTGGACTCAGCGTTGTGCCGATTGGTCCGTATTAGACAGCTGACGCCATTTAATTACGTTCGCTCCAGACACACGGCAGCGGATCTTCCTCTTTCCTGAGTGAGACAGCACAATCCAAGTTTCCCTACGTTCAGCGTTGATTCTTCCTTCTGTTTTATTGACTTTGTGAGTACCTATATCTGCACTTTATATTCCTTACGGCATCGTGTGACGTTACGGCGACTATATGCATAGCCAAAGCCCGCAGCCACGTTCCCACCAGCGCGAATATTATAAATAATATATATGTTGTATAGTTAATACAAATTTTGTATATAAGATTCAGCATATATAGCGAATATAATTTCGAAATATTTTCGTGTGGGAACGTACATAACCTCCCAAGTCGACGCTAGTCTTCGTTAAGTTAAACTGTTATTTGTGTGTTTAACTCGAGCAAACTCCGAAAGTAGTCGAGCAATAGCGTGAGAATACGGTAAGGTAAAATAGCTTGAGAAACGAATAGATTGCTTTTCCTGAAATTAAAAACATAAATTATCGTCCGGCTGCTTAGCATGCTCTCTTTTCGCGAAAATTGATGATCTTCGGATGAGCTTTTTCCGATACGCCTCGTTGCTCATTCACGTATTTTTATCCATAACCCGTTCTTTGGTACTCGGCTGATTGTGTATACGTATATAGTATTTTTTTTATTCATGTGTATATATGTATATCTAATGTTCGGTTAGCTGCACGTTTTTCTTGAATTACGTGTATTCCTGGCGTGATAACGAAATAGTTTTTTTTTTTAATTGTAGCACAAAATAGGATACTCATGATTAATATTTATGAACTCTCCCTGGACTCATTCGTCTGTACTGATACACGAGTATGATGTATCATAGAAATTTATGCAACTATGTATCTGCATATATAATATATTTATGCCGAGCGATAATACGGAAACAATAGGAATATTGTGTATGTATATCGGGGACGAACGGTTACTGTGGAACGTAAAGCAAGTCGACTGAATCTCCACTGGACATTTAGATAACGTCTTTCTAGTCGATACAAACGTATATTAGGTGCAACCAATATTCAGGCTGAATATCCATTGTGCATCCAATCGACGTTATAGAGAGTTGGTAGAGGCATTAGATGCAGCTGATAGCCGTACGATAGATATATAGCTATACAGAGTCAACGTTAAAAGCAAATAAGAATGAATGTATCTGCTTGAAAGAGAGAAAAAAAAAAAAAAAAAAAAAAAAAAAATTGATAATCTCTTAAAATCCAGACACAGCGTTGGCCATTACTTTTTGAAATTGATGTAGCGAAGAAAGTTGAAAGTGCAAATCTTGCCGGGAAGTATCTGGAAAGATTTCACCTTGCGAAATGAGATCGTCAATTTGAGAAAAAGGTGCTGAAGCTTGATTAAGGTTTTACTTTACCATCTTTCCGTACTCAGCTTCCAATCTCGGCGAAGGCTCGGAATGGACCTTATACTTGTTCGTCCTGAACTGGAGGATGATGACCTAACGGAGGGGGCAGCTCTGATCCAAACGGGAGCGACTTCACTCCCGGCTTATTTAATTTCAAACAAGAGTTGCCCGTTTGAAGAAGTAACAAGTAAAGTCAAAGTTACTTCGAATTGAAATAGGGTCGAGAATGGTGCAGAGGCGAGAAGGGATGCTGGGTGAATAAGATTCACCCTTGTATCTGTTTTTGTTAAAACAGTTAAAAAGTGAACTTTTAGATATTAAATGTGAATTAAACTGACCTAATGCTTTTTTTTTATAATTAGTTTCTTACGATAATTCGGAATTTTCGGATTCCTTTGTTTTAAGGGAAACAAGAATGCCCGACCCTTCGGGAACTTCTGTTCGAGTTATTTTACATATATTTTTTGCAACTTTTTTAGTGACAGTTTGGGAAAGTTACATTTTCTCGGCGAGTTCATTTACACGATCGTCGAGAAACTTTGTACAATTACTGTGGATTAAAATGTTCTTGCGAATGATTTTTTACCTGAATTATTTACAAAGTCCAGAGAATTTCGACTGCACGTACTTTGTGGGGGATTTTACCTTGTTTTTCAATTATCTCGGGATATTTTCCGGTAATTGAATTTCTAACAAGAAGGGACTGTTGGCATTGTTATTTGTACACCGGAGAAAGACATTCGATCGTCGACCTTAAATTCACGATCAATAACTCTTGACAAATCACATTTTCGTCTGTCTCGTTCACCGTCTCATATAAACGGATTTATCTTGTTTTTTGATCTCGGGCCAGGAAAGTGAGTTCCCGGTACTTAAAGAGTATCAACCTTCGGAGAGTAAAGCAAAATCAAATAAAAAGCCTGGAGACCGAGGAGTTTACTCGTAGGCTCCCTAATATTATTGTAATGAGCGAAAGATCACGATATAGGGAACAAATTAGGAGGATGCTGCAATATAAAAACGAAATAAGTCGATAAAATTTCTCCAATATATTGGGTTGTAACATAAATAATTTCAGTTGGAAGTAGAACGATCTTGTACTTATAACCAAAGTTAATTATGTTACGACCCCATAATTTCATTTCGATATTTATTCGTTGCTGATACTGTATCGAGTGAAGCCATTGTAATATTTATAATTTTTTTTTCATTAGTAAAACACGATCCAGCTTCTAATGGTATGTTGGATGTAAATTCGTGAAAATCTTTAGTCTGTCACACCGAAGAAAATGAAATTACGTATTTACGAGGATCCTCGAGGACGGCAGAAATATTTATAAAGCTCAAAAATCGAGATGGCGATACTCGTCTCAACATCTAATTCTATTTTTATCCTTCTTACCCTATTAAATATAGAATTTACATACTCTGGAAGGATCAATCTGTGATCTTTATATAGTACCTATATCTGTATGGTATCAATTTACGAACCACTGATAGTAACTAAGTAAACAATCTAACGGGTAACATAAACGAGGTTCATGTTTTTCATTTCACAAAAAATTTTCCAAAGCACGTATATAGTTGCATTGAAAAATAGATATTCGACGGAATTCACGAAATTACACGAAAAATTCATATACGAAGCTAATTCCCTGAGAAATATATGAAATAACGCAGATGGGTTGTCCCGAAATATTTTTTTTCCCGGATGTACGAAATTTTTCGTAAAAATACATTTTGACCCCGCAACCTACCGTTTTGGAAATACTCCAACGTGAGTTCACGAATCGTTGCGCGCCGAAGAGCTTGCGTATAATACACGCTCGTGGTCTTCAGAGACACTTTATTAGACTCCGGTATCGAATTCCAATCGATCTGTAAAATCCGCTATAGTAACGAAGCATCGATTGCAAAGCAAAGCCCGCAGTGTTGTTATTACGAATATATGTGGCGAGTTACCCAAAGAAAAGGAACGCTTAACAAAGGAAATATATAAGGGCGGGAAATTCAAAACTGTAGAAGGAAACAACGACTCGTTAGAGCGTTACAAGTAAGTTACTCGCCCATAAGTGTATACGTACTTACTTTATACATATACTACTTCCATGCCACAGCTATGAGCTGCCTAATGTAAACTTCGCCGCGGTGAAACAGAGAAACGCGCTAACTGGAGGTAAAGTGGGGTCCGCAGATTCTCACGAGAACTTTGCAGCGCCTAACATTTCGCGGCATCTGTCCAATTAGGGAATTGTAGGTGGAGGCTTCCGTCCTGTTGGACTCCCCGAAGAAGCTTCTCGCTACGTCATTAGTAGGTCCGTTACGTAGGGTTGGTAGGTTACCTGAGGATACTTAATGTGATTGCGTGGACTCGAAAAGTTTCTAATGTCACTT